AACTGATTGCAGCAGACACCTATTGTATGGTCTCCTATTCAGAGCATAACCTGTCCTGAAGTTTTGACAGCCCCACTGCAGGACACTTGCAGATTGGAGGAGCCTGTGGAGACTGTACAGAAGAGAACAGCTCTGTTATGTTTGGGAAATGAAAAGGGTGATCTTCAACCACATGTCCTCTGTTCTACCAGCAGTGACTACCATTCTGTCAGCCCTCACATGGATCTGCAAGGCAGCAAGTTCATCTCTAAGCTTCACCTGTACTCCTACTGCAGAGCTTGGAAGATGTTCTCTGAACGTAACAAAACATACTCTTTGTTCTGCAGCCATAAATAATTGCGATGATAAATCACAGTGTACCACTTAAAAGATTTTTCTTGAGTGCTTTTAATGTGCTTTGACAGATCCTGCTGTCCTGCATTGTCAGGGAGCTGCTAAAGCATACACAGACAAACACTTCTCCAGTGGGGAAAGGTCTTTAAGTAATGCTGTGTTCACCATGTGGTGGGAGAACTTGTCTGCCTGTGGTCTTTATCAAAAAGAAAGTTCTGGTCAGACCTTAGGCCACTGCAAACTGTTAGTTCGTTCATGGGAAATGAGTAAGACTGCTTAGACCTTCAATAGCTACAAATTTCCCTAGGATATCCTTTTCTCCTGCACAGAAATTGTGTTCAGGAAGGACAAGAGGAATCTAACAGTGTGTCTAGGATTCACTCTGGGACAAACTTTCTAAGCAAACCTGGTGAAGATGCATGAAATCAATCTGCACATGTACACCCACTCTGCTGTTTTCTGGATGGATCAGTCTCATGGCAGATGATTCCCTGTCACTTGTGCTTCCCTACTCAGATGAAACCTTAGTGATGTTTTGTTCCAGTCCTCACAGATTCCATGCCAAGCTTGCTTTATGTCAAAGCAGGCTTCCATTTTCTATTACAAGAATGCAAGAACAGTCACACTGGTCACGCCATAAATCCATCTAGTCCAGCATCCTCTCTCCTGTGTCACATAATCCTTGTCTGTAAACTGGAGAGGAATGGATTTGATGACCACTACGTCAATAATAAATTTGCTGGATGATCACACTCAAAAAGTTCTGGTCAACAGCTTGATGTCTAAGTGGAGACCAGTGAAGACTGGCATTCCTCAGGGGTCAGTGGTGGTATCAATCCTATTCAACATCTTTGTTGGCAATATGGGCAGTGGCATCGAGTGCACACTCAGTACATTTGCTGTTGACACTGAGCTGTATGATGCTATTGACATCTGCGATCCAGAGAGACCTGGACAGGCTGGAGAGGTGAGACCATATGAACCTCATGAAGTTCAAGAAGGCCAAGTGCAGGGTCCTGCCCCTGGGTCAGGGCAATCCCCAGCACAAATACAGGCTGGGGAAGACTGGATGAAGCAGCCCTGAGGAGAAGGACTTGGTAGTATTGGGTGAGGAGGAGCTCCCCATGACATGGCTTCAGTGTGTGCTTGAGCCCAGAACCTCCTCATGCACTGGGCTGCATCCCCAGAGTGTGAGCAGTTTGAGGGAAGGGATTCTCCCCCTCTGCTGCACCCTGGGGAGATCGCAGACCTGCAGTCCTGATCCAGTTCTGGGGCAACAGCACAAGAGGGACGTGAAACTGCTAGAACGAATCTAGAGGAGGCCATGGAGATGCTGCAAGTGCTGGAGTAGCTCTGCTCCGGAGAACGGCTGAGAGAGCTGGCATGGCTCAGCCTGGAGAAGGCTCCTGAAGGGGAGACCTTAGAGCAGCTCCAGTGCCTAAAGGGGCTACAAGAAACCTGGAGAGGGGCTTGGGACAAGGGCCTGTAAAGACAGGACAAGGGGGAATGGCTTTAACTTGCCAGAGGGGAGACTGAGCTGAGCTCTTAGGCAGAAGCTCTTCCCTGTGAGGGTGCTGAGGTGCTGGCACAGGGTGCCCAGAGAAGCTGTGGCTGCCCCATCCCTGGCAGTGTTGAACAGCTTGGAGTAACCTGCTGTAGTGGAAGGTGTCCCTGCCCGTGCCTTCCATATTTTGCTCTGCGGATTTATGCAGTGGTGTATGACAAGCAGTTACTAAGATCCACAATATCCAACAATACTTTCACAACACTGTGGAGCAATTGGAGAATGTAGGAACGAAAGCCATCAGCTACGACAGACTTTGCTCCATGCATCACTGTCATGCACAAGTCGGAATGACGGTCTCATTTTTAATGTGTGCTATTTCTCTGTAGCTACCTACTCTTGATTCCCAGGCAAAAACCTGTCAGGAGCTTGTTGCTTTTTTGTCTTTAAGCCTCTGAACTCACACAGTGTTTTGGTTTAATGAAGGTAACTCTGTTGAAAACCCTGACAAAAGAAAAATACTCGTTCAACTGTGGCCGCTGGCTAGATATAAATGAAGACGACAATGAGATCGTGCGGGAGCTCCCTGCGGAGGGATCTCTAGTGACTGAAGTCATGCCAGGTGAGAGCCATGGGCTCCATTTAGGGGTTCACTTAGACCTGAATAGAAAGAAACCCTCTTTGTGTAAGGGATGCACAAGCAGACTGATGCAATTCAATGAGGTTTTTTTCTGGCACTTTCTCTCTGCAGTAATTTTCTGAGAGCATCATTAGCTTCATGAAGCCTTAGAATTCCCAGGATCTTGTTCTGAGCAGATTTCTTTGTGATGGGAGTGGGGAGATGTCTGGCTGCAATATAACTCTTTTCAGAGCTATATTTTATTTTTTTTCCCCGAACTTGGATTTTTTCTCGTTCTTCATTAAAAAGTGGAATACAAGGATTAAGGGATGTTCATGGAAAGCTCACTCAGCTAAAAGGCAAAAAATTCAGCAACCACTTTTGGGCTTTAAACTTTTATTTAACTATATTCACATGTAAACAGATATATGTATAAATGTATGGGAGATTACACAGAAGGGTTCTGTGAGAGCATAGACACCATTCAGTACGTGTAAGCAATCTGATCTATTTATTGGGTTAACTGTGCTTGAACTGGAGATTTAATTAAGAAAAGCTGCATAACTTTGAGCTGGCTCCCCAAAGTGGCCACTTCAGTCTTGACCTCGTGTCACAAGAATTAAACATACTTGAAAGGAGACTTTCGGAGAACAGCATATCTCAAGGTGGATGCTGGGATTTCTCTTATTTCCACCAAAGCAGCCCGTGGAGCTTCACACTCTGTAGACCACAAGTCCCCTGTTTTGTGAAGTTTCCAGTGAACTCAGTGATCTGCATGCAGCTGAGCAGTTCCTCAGAAGAGGAAGAGTAATTGTAATTGCAGATGTTATTAAAATGTAAATAAAGCTAGGTTTGAAATGTATTTTTAATCAGCTGTGGAGAGGGCTACTTGAGTTCAAAAGCAGGCACTTCCCCGTGAGAAGCAATTGTGCTGAGCATGGGTGAGATGCAGCACCCGTTTGTGTTGGTTTCAGAGGGAGGGTGGCAGTATTGCTTCTTGTCCCTTCCTGATGCCAGAGAATAAGGTTTCTCTCTTGAAGTTTGGTTCTAGGGCTGGTTCTTCATTGTGAAATTTCTTCTGGAAATCCTTCACCCAATGGGCTGGGGGAGAAGAGATGAGGGCAGGGCAGGGGGAGGAAGGTGGCAACTCAAAATCTACCCATCAAAATCCTCAATAATGATCTCAAAGGTGATAAGCAGGCAAGACACTATTCAACCTCCTGCACTAGGAGGGTCCCAAGGAGATGGGGCCAGCTGGGCTTGTCTTCCCCATAAAGCCAACATGAAAAGCCTGTTCCTCAGGTCCCCAAGTGCTCAGCACTTTTTAACTCTTTTTTTTTTTCTCTCCCTGCCATGCCTCTGGGTGCTGAAAATGATGTTTTTCCAGAACATGTTGTTACAAGGTCCCCTATCACAAGGGTCCACTTGGGAAGGCAGGAGGGGAGGTAGGAGAGGTGGGGCCCTGAGGAGGCTATGTGTTTCAATTCATGAGGTTTTACCTGAAGGGGATGGCATTTTTTTTGTCCTGTGGAGGGGGTTTATGGTTTTTCTTGGCATTTCAGGCCTTCCTATTTCGGCAATTTTTCTCTTCCTGCTGGCCCATCCCTGGCAGTGTTCAAGGCCAGGTTGGGTGGGTCTATTGGAAGGTGTCCCTTCCTATGGCAGGGGATTGGAGCTGGCTGAGCTTTAATGTCCCTTCCAACCCAAACCATTCTGTGATTGTATGATAACATGGAAATGTTAAAGTAAATACATCATCAGAAGTACCAACTGGAAGTACAAGCATTTAAAATTAATTTCAATTCTGTGAAAAATGCAGTAAATTTAAATGGCAATTAATTGTGTTACTGCAATTGTTTTATTCATCTATGTCTCCACAGTGATTAAGTACCGGGTGACGGTTTGCACTGGGACGGTAAGTGGGAGCGGCACAGATGCCAATGTCTTTGTGTGCCTCATCGGTGACCAAGGAGACACGGGAGATCGTGTTCTCTACAACTGCATCAACACAGCCAATAAGTTTGAAAAGGGCAATGTAAGTTCACACATCAGCTCTTAGGACAGGTTTTTAAGCGTGTGACTGTAGATTTTCTTTTTCGATGTTTGTGTTTGTAAGCTTGGCTAATTTCCGTGCTAGTTTGGGCTAGGGCAGAAAGGAGAATAAATTATGTCCACGGAGCATCATAACAGGTTGCAGTTGGAGGGACGTTCAGGTCAGGGACAGTGTGTCATTGCTTGAAATAGGTATGTTCATAAGAGTTTCCTAGTTTGCTTCCCAGCTAAGTCCTGACTGTTGACATTGCATCTTCAGATCAGGGAAGGCTTACAGAAAATCTGTGCATCTTCCAAGAACAAGAGTAAGTCTTTCGCCCTTCATCTAATAGGGAAAAAAATCTGTCTCCCAGGGCAAAGCAAGCAAAAGCATCTGATTTAATGTGAAAATTAGAACTGAAAGCCTAATCTGTTTCCTTTATATTTCCTCCAGTCTTCCCTCAACCATGATGAACTCAGGTTTTGTGTGTTATTTTCAATCTGCTTTTCAGCATGTTTTTCTATGACCGAGTCCTGAATGGAGGGGGTGGAAATGGCCTGGAGTGAAGACAGAGATCCTTGGAAAGCTGGAGATAGGAAAAGGTCAAATTGTAGTTAAAGCCTTTGTAGCATTAACAGCATTAACAAGTGTATAATATGCTGATCTGATCTGTGGGGCCAACCTACTTTATATGAAGCCAGTTTTGGATCTATATGGTCCAACTTTGACAGGTAAAATGTAATGTATCTCCCGGAAAGGATTTTGAGAATCTGATTACACAACTCTGTAGATTTCTCATCTTTTGTGTCATTATTTGATCTAAGATTTGGAATGGAAAGAAAATGAGGATGCTAGAATGGAAAAATTAAAAGAAAAGGAGGTCATGTTTTCAAAACTGACTGTTACATTCAGGCTTCTAAAACATGTATTAACACATTGGATTTGCCTTTGAGTGTCCAGATTTTCCAGTTCTTCACTGAAATCGCTGAGTTTTTAGACTTTGAAAGAGTTTTCATCACGGTTTTCTTGTGCCTGTAAGACCTGTACATAGAAACATGGTATTTACATAGTCTGTAAATTCACTCTGTTTCCAAATGGCATACAGGTTTGCAGACATGGACATTGAAACATCATATTTTTTTCCTATGCAGTTACGTCCATTTTTTTATTTTTAAAAAGTAGGCCCAAGTTATAAAAAACAGCATTCTGTTATCTGGCAAAATCTTGTTTTGTCAAAATGATAGCAAAATAAGTGATGATTTAAACACTGTTTCAATGAAGTCCCAAAGAAGGTGCTTGATTCTCAGAAGATAAAAGGTATTTTAAAGACAGATAATGACTATTTTGTTTTTACTCCAAAAATGAGTTATAGGATAACCTGCATGAAAGGGAAAAGTTGAAAAAATAATAAAAATCATTTTGGAAAGCAATTACTATGATTAATAGTACGCAAGTGATATAACCCAAACTGGAACTGACTAACACAAAACTGCTGTCTTGGCATGAAGAGTTGATAGCTGGTGAATGAATTGGAAGCTGTTTAAGGATTGATCCTGAGAAACTTAGAGCTCATAAGTTCAAGAGACTGAGTGAATATATCTACACTGATTAACTCAGACACCCTGTTAAAAAGAAATGTAGCCAAGTCAGAGCAGTCTCTAATCTACAGCCACTTAAGCCAGTATTACCTTGATTACCAATTCGACTTGAAAAGCCTGTATATAAGGTAAAATTTAAAGATGTCTCTAAATTAGGTGTTTGCCCTGCTGTTGTTCCAGTTAGTTACTTTCTCATTAGTTTATATCAGCCATTAATAAGGGAGATGAACAGCAGGCCTAATGAATTAGACTTCATCGACTTTGACTGACTTAGTGAGGTTCTAATACCTTACATCCCCAATTCAGCAGTTTTGACTATGAAAGTAGCACTTGTTCAGGTACGTAAGCCCATCCCTAACACTTAAAAAGTGGTAATATGTCTAGTCTTTATTTTAAAGGTTGGTTTGGGGTTCTGAGTGATGGAAATATCACGACTCTTTTAATAAATTTAAATATTGACATAATATTACCATGCCACCACACTTTCTGGGAGATAATTGGGTATATGTTATCACCATGTGTGCTTCATGGGCTTTTAGGAGATGAAGAACAAATGAATGGCAGTGTCTTACCTAGCAGGGCATCTCAGCCAATGGTAATCACAGCAGTCATATCTCTTTGTTGGACTATATGCTTCAGATACTCTGTGTGCTTGCACACAGTATTTACTATACATGTGTGTATGTCTGTACATGTATGGTAGATACCTCACTGCCTGATTCCCAGAGGATTAACTTGCTCTTTTAATACATCTTGCATCACCCATGGGGAACTGCTCCTCCCAGTATACTCTTGGGTAACAGACATCTGGTCTTAAGGGGCCATCTTTTTGGTTAATCCGTGGGTTGGTGATTTGAGGTCTTTTCCAGGAAAAAAAACGCAAACAAAAACCAACGACACAAAAAAACCACATAAAATTCACGCATTTTGTGAGATATTAAGGATGTTTTGCTGCTGGGTTAAGTTGACACCGAACTCTGACACAACCAAACACAGTTCATGGAGCAGCTGGATATACCCCTATGCAGCCATGCCTAATTCTTGCATGCCAAGAAATTGCTGGGGTTAAATCATGTTCACTAGTCCATAATTTAATGTGGAGTAATATTCTTAAACTATACCTCTAAATACGTCTGTGGATTTGTTCTGAAGTGACTGTCCTGGATTTCCCAGAAAGCTGGTATCTGAGCAGGGGTTTGAAGTCAGATTTCCGGCCCCACTGTATGAACTTCTTAATAATCAAATTACTTATCTTTTTTACAGTTATGAAGGGCATGCAATGATGTGGGAGATTTAAGATGCTGGAAGATCATATATTTGTAAATCTGATGTTATACATCTAGCACAAATATTCAAGCTTTCATTCTTTGGTATATTAATTCATACTTTCTCCTTTGTCTTATGAAGAATTGTCTTGCAGAATGCTGATGATGTTGGTTTGATTACAATAATATATTTGGCTGGTTTCTTTGTTTTTAAGGAGAAATATTGCCTTACCTTTTTTCTTCTTCTCAAAGGCTGATGAATTCTTCGTTGAAGCAGTAACGCTGAAGCAGGTGAGGAGGGTGAGGATAGGGCATGACGGCAAAGGAGGAAGCAGTGGCTGGTACCTTGCCAAAGTGATAGTGAGGGAAGAAGGACAGCCAGAAAGTGAGGCTGTGGAATTCCCCTGCTACAGGTACTAGAAGCAAAGCTTGCAAATTGTGCCTCCTTCTATGCATTTGCAAGACTTTGAAGAGCCTGGCTCTTGTTCCAAGACTGGAATCTTCTGAGCACAGCTTAATCCTTTTTATTTATTCATTCATTTACTTTTGCTAAGCCTGAAAGCAAAGAGTGTGGACTGGGAGGTTTAAGATATGGCTAACTCCCCTTACCAAATGAGCTGCAATCTGAATTGTGAACTTCTCAGCAACTAGCTCAGTAATACAAAGAATTTCCAAAAGGCAGAATGCAACCTTCCAGTACCACATCCATAGTTATTGCAATTGCCTGCTGCAGAAACACACTCTGCAATCCACTACAATCTGCTAGTTTTATTGCATGTGTGTGACGAGGTTCTGGTCCCTCACATGCACATCCCATCTTTCCAGGAGCAATGGGATGCTATTTTTGTGTTGGGGGAATGCAGAATTTTTATCTGCTGTCTTAAGAGCTTCATGCACGAAAGGAAATGTGTGTCATGCAGACAGAGATAGTGGCAAAGCAGAGGGCTCTAACTTACCCCTATGGGTGGGTTATAAACGTATCCTTCTCTTTTCTAGACAACCAAGTGGCCAAAAGAAATGTGTTGCACTGAGGGTACCCATGGGGAATGAGATGTACCGTCTGTTCTGGAACTAATGAGGGCCTGCCTCAACACTGCAGCACAAATAGTGAGAACTTGGTGGAAACAAAAAAAGACTAAATTCAGCGTAGTTCAGTGTACTGTAAAGTCCCATTTGGCCTCTCAGGTTATCCGTCCTGTAGGATGGAAGTTCATTTTGTTCCACTTAGCTACATCAAGTAACTGCTTTAAGAAGTAACCTCCTGGGGAACAAGGAGAATTACAAAATGCAGTTATTTTTAAATTGCAAAGGTAAAACCTCTAAGCTGGTTACTTGTCTCTTTTCTTGGAAGAACTCCACTATAATGAGGGATTCAGCCAAATACAAAACAAGAGCCAGCCCCAGCCTCTCTGCACTGCTAAAGCCGCATCTTGTCAGAGAGCGAACTCACTGGGGAGACAGCATGGAGCAGCAGATGCAATGTCATCTTGGTTGTGAAAAGCAAGCCAGTCTCTCCCTTTTCAAAGAACAAACCACCATGTTGTCATTGCTGCCTTTTGATACATATTTAACAACCATATGTTTTACTGAGTTAAGCAAGCAAGCTAGACAGGTTTTTGCTTGGACATGAAGTGTCCATGTGAAGAGCTGTTTTGCTCAGACTCCTCAGAGATACCTCTGTGTCTAATTGCACTATGCAGATGGCTCATTTTAAGTATTTCCTTTCGCAATGCCTCCTTACCTGACTGTTTAGCTGGGCATCTTGCCTCAGCTTGGAGGGATAGCCCCCTTCCCCTTAGCTTTATAGCTGTGTATCAAAGTCCACAGGGCATTTCCCTCAGGCCAGGGACCAAAAAAGAAGGAAGAAAGAAAACCCAAGACTTTATCCTCAAAACATCAGTGGGGTGCATTCAGGCTTCACGTCACAAAAGATGGAATTCCACTCTTCTTACCTTTCTAAGTGTCTCTTTTTCCAAGTGATATCTGTGTTGTTCATGCAGCTTTATTTGCTGTCCTTGTGCCAGCATTATCTCTTCCTCTCAGATTGAGAAGGTAACATGACTGATCACCTCCAAACACAGGGACAGCTGCTCCCTCTCACTATCTTTGGTGCCTGTGTCTCTTGAGAGATGGGGGCATCATCGCAGTATACGGGTGTCGTCATGGAGTCTGGAGATATCTGAGGGCGAAGGTGCTCACCCACTGCATCCTCTATGTGAGGGATAAAAATCTCCATGACCTGCAGCATTTGGATGTTCCCCTCCAGTCCTGTAGGCCACGGACAGCTTATGTCCTCTCTTCTTTGGCAGCTGCTCATAGAACTCTCCTTCACCTGCCTCTTCAGAGCCAAGATACTGAAGACTTAGCCAAGAAGAGCCAATGCGAGTGAAGTTAATTAGAGACTCCATCTGGGGGACACCAGGGAAGCTTCTGTTTCTGCTTGGGTATTCTGAGGCCAGCCAGTATACATGCTGATGTTCTCATTGCCTTAATATCCAAGACCTGATTAACTTTAACTCTTATACACAACGTAATTGCAGGGTCTGAGGAAAACAACTGCTGCTGCTGTGTGGTTACTGGAAGATACTCTGTTGACTTTTTGCTGCTTAGCTGCCATTGTGGGACAGATGGAGGACAAAATGCCTTCCAGCAGAAACACATCTCAGTGCAGAAAGTTTCAGAGGCTTCTTACCTCTACAAAAACTAGGTTGTGCTAGCATATGGGGAATGTACAGCAGAGCAAAGAGCTGGCTAACCAGCTTCTACTGTAATTAATGTCTGTAGGGTATCCTTATAGATCTTCACTGCATATAGCTCATTGAAGCCTCTGCTCTTGTTATTTACCTATTCATATACTTGGCTGCATTTTGTCTTTTAATTTGAAAGCTTTTTTATGACTCCATACGAACATCTATTACCTAGTAGTCACAAGAGCCCTATGAGAAGAGCTGTCTTTGTTGTACAGGGGAGCCAGCACAGATAAGGAGAAGCTAAGTGAATTAATTGCGAGTTTGTGTCACATTCAAGAAGAGCATCAAGAAATAATGACTTCCAGGCCTATGCTTTCAGCTCTAAAAGCTCTAGTTGGCTGTAAAGGGAATGGTTTGTAGCTCTTCTCAGTGACTTTTAAAGCGGTCATTTGATCTGTGCTTTCAAGAAGTAAATACGAGTAATTTCTCCAAACATTATTTGCAGAATTACTAGTATATCACTTGGATGCATTGCAGTGTTATTTCTCCCTTATGACTCCATAACTTTATACTATCTATGCTTTTAGGGAATGAACTCTGAATCATTCAGTGGCACAACTAAACAATTAATACTTTATAACACCTGATGTGGCTTAGGTATTGTGATCATGAATACTGATAGAAAGTTCAAAACGAAAGAGTTTATCTTTTGCCACAGAACTGGAGGCAAACTTTCTGAAGTTCAGAACTGAGTTCTTCAGGTTTTATTTTCTCCTCAAGGCTCTGTGGAAGTCCAGGAATGGACTAGCTGACATTCTCTAAAATAGTCTATTTTCAATAATATTTCTATCCCAGACAGAAATGAATTTTCAATCAGGCAAAGTCACGAGTTTGTGGTAGGATAGTTTTATATGCTATAAATCATTACAGCTCCACTGAAATCTTCAATGATACTTCATTACATTTTCTTCTAAGTGTATAGACTGCACCATCCTAATTTTTCTCCAGTACAAGCATAAGGGAACATCATTAATTCTCTGAAGAAAACAGACAGACCATGAATAGGATGATGCACTAGGAGACTTCTGTGAAAGAACATTTATTCAGTCAAATGCCAGAAGTGTTCATCATAAAAAGGTTCCAGATAAACCTCTTTGTTGTGGTGGGTTTTTCTGGTGTTTTTTTTTCCCTAGAATCAGGCTGAAATATCTTTTACACATATTTATATACACAGGTTATATTTAGAGACACACACAAATACATCAGTATCTCTGAATCTAATGGATGTGCTAATCATTCTAATTAAACACAGGCTATCACCTGCTGGATTTCAAATGCTATATGTGATATCACACCATAGTTTTTTCCAGTGCTTCCCTGACTTTCTTATCCTCTAGAAATTATCTCTGAGGTGGCTTTCATGTCATATTTGTGTCTGCTTTTGGTTATAGGACATACAGTATCTCTCTAGAATGAAGTGTGTTATACATGATACAACTACACCCTTGCAAAAGCCACAATAAATTGCATGTACTAAAATCATGTGGAAGCTCTGATAAAATAAAAGATTTTGCAATGTCTTTTGTGCTAGAAATATGTTGGCACCATACTGAAAAGTCTATTTTCTGAAGCCTGATGTGTTTATAATGTGTCAATTCATTTGTGTTCAGTGTAAGACTATAAACCCCTGGTTGCAATCTGCCACTTTGTGATATGCTATTGGAATTACATTGAAGTAAAATTAGGATATTGCAGCATATGTGCTGAAGTGAAGGAACACAGTGGCATTGCTCATCCAGATGCTTCCTCTGTCATAAAAATCAGAGAAAACAACTTCTCTTTTCTTGAGAAAACAGTGCCTCTGCCACTTCTGACTGTTCTCTTGGCTGAAACAAAGTAGGGAGCCTTAAGCCACTTCTGCTGATAAACTTCACTCTTCCTCCTCTGGTCCAAGACATGCTCCTATTACCTTCAGTAGCTATCAACATCGGTCATGGAATTTTCTTTATCTAGGGACACATTCTCCTTTTTTGACTCACTTTTCTCACTGGTGAAGCAGTTAGCTTTTCTTATTCTGCACACAGAGATCTGTTTCTTGTGGGATGTATTTTCATCCTGCCACTTTGGTGCAGAAGATGTTTCCCTAGCATCATCAGTGGTGAAGGCAACAGAAAGCAACAGCATGTACACCAGCAACAGAACAGCAGCTTGCAGGACACAGAAAGCAGCAGCAGGAGAGCAGAAGTGTGTCTGCCTTATGAGCTTCTGCCTTCCTGAAGGCCATGTTGTAATCAGTAGTGCCAGTGGGGTGGAGTTCACAGGCTCAAATTCTGTGGGGCCTTCCAGGTAATATCCATGTATTCAGAAGCATCTTAACTTTGGGGATGATGCAATCCCTTAACCATTGGATACCTCACCAAGGACATGAATACTGAGCCAGGATCAAGAACTACGTGATCTAAAGGTATTAAGGACCAGTTCTAACAGGTAAAAAAAAAAATAATCCCCCAATCCCAAAACAATAAAGGCTTCTTTTCGTAAGAAAAAGTGTTGTCTTAGCAGGCTCTTCTTCTGCTCTCTTTGTACTCTACCCTTGCTCAATTCTTGACATCAATTTCATGGTCTTCTCCACAGATTTTTCTGCTCCTCTATCCCCACTACAACTCTCAGCCTCCACTGAGGCACAATGCCACATCTGATACCCTCACATGGTGTCTGTGTGACCATCACATATACATCACCTTCATGCTGACCCCTTAGCTTTTATCCCTTTTCAAGTAACACCTGTGCCTGGCCACCTGCTTTAGTGAAAAGGAAAAATACTGGGTAGACTGCATACCCAACAACCTGCCAAAGCTTACAGGAGAGCTGGGACTGGAAATGTGTGTTTGTGTGATGGGGCTCTGTGCATCTCTTTTGCATGGGAACTTTGCTGCTAGTGCTTCTGGGACCAGCCGGCTCTTAGCTCATGTTTGAATTTCTTTCCTGGTGCTGGTTTTTTATATGATTTCTTTGTGCTTATTGGTTTTGTCTGGGAAAGAAGGGAGAGGAGGACAGTAAAAGATAGTATCCTCTCAGATGGACAAAATGGAGACCTATCATCCTTGGTCTTCCAAAACATCTGTTTACTTCTTGATCACCATGGCAAGTCCAACTCTTCATGACTGAAAGCTGTGCTGGCTTACTACTAGCAAGATGCCATAGGTGTAATCCATCTGGACATTTGTTTGTGTCCCCAGATCATAGAATCATAGAATCACAGACTGGTTTGGGTTGGAAAGGACCTTAAAGCTCATCTAGTTCCAACCTCCCTGCTGTCGACAGGGGCACCTTCCACTAGATCAGGTTGCTCCAAGCCATGTCCAACTTGGACCTGTCATTTGCTGGTTTCCATGTGTGCTGCCTCATCAGCAAAATCAAAGATGGAAACTGAAATGGGAAATCAGCTTCCCTTCTTTTTGCTGTGAGGTTCAGCCCAGGAGAACATGAGTGGCATGGCCATGTTGCAGGAAGCTTGCGGAGCATCTTCACTGAATGTGTTTGTGCAGAAGCAGTTCTTCTGTGGTCTGCTGTCATTCACATAGCTGTGTCCCTTCTTCTAAAAGAAACAGTTTTGGCGGATTTCTGGGAATTATTAAAGCAACTTAAATACCCTGTGTGGCCTGCCAGATCTTGATCCCTTGTCCCTTGTTCACCCACACTGGTTTTAGCAGTATTCTTAACTGCAAAATAAGGTGCTGTAAAGAGCTGTGTACCTGGGAAGAATGGGCTTTTTGGGAGCTGCTTGCTCTCATGTGATGTCTGGGGAACTGAAATGGCCCCAGTGCACTGCTGTGGGAAACCTGACCCTAAGCAGATGCTTACAGGAATACCTTGAGCAGTCCAGGTTTGAAGTGGAAAGTGAGAAACCTCTGCCAGGGTCTTTGCCATAGTCATACAATGCTGGTTGTATGGCATATGATGGGGTTGGGGCTGTAATTCACTCATCCCTGAGGCTGAAGGAGCAGCCTTAGATTGCTTAGGTTACAAGATCATCAATTGGTTTCCCTGTATTTTCCTTTCACATTTTTTTTCCCTTATTCTTCTTGATTTTCTTCTTAATTAGTCTAGTTGGGTCGCTAGATAGAGGTTGAGAAGCAAACAAAATTCTTTCTTTTGCTGGTGCCAGCTGCCTCTACACCCATTTCTGAAACTGGGTCAACATAGTTCATCCTCTTCCTGGTGGAGAAAAGAGTGTGATATACTGACCTATAAGGAAGGGAAAACTGGTGATAAACCAGAGTAAACAAACAATAAAAGAAAAGTGGGGGTTAAGTAACTTAGATGCTATAAAGGTTGTAATAAAGGTGGCTTGTAATTAAGGCTGCAAGTATTTCTGGTCAATGAAGGTCAGAGCTTTCAAGAGACTGGGCCTGCCCATTTACAGGAATAACTGTGGCTGTGGAGCTTGTGCTTCCCAGGCAGATGGACATCACAGCAGATGCTCATGTACTGCGAGCAGGGCTCTTATGATCTCGACTTTTGGAAATGGAGGTTTAAAGTGTGACTGCTGTAGAGTCTGGTCAAGCTTCTGTGAATTTAACAGAGATAAAGAGCACTGTTGTGACTGTGGTGTGGATTTTTACAATGTGGATTTTTACTATGTGTAGAGCCAGCCTAGGTTTTGAAAGGTATAATAGTTCCTAATTATTCAAAGATAACTTACTTCTGTTTGTAAACCAGATGGCTTGACAAAAACGAGGATGACGGTCAGATTGTCAGAGAACTAGTACCTGCTGGGGAGTCACCAATGCTAAAAAGTGAGTTTAGCTTTGAAAAAGACAAGGTTTGAGTTAGACCTGTGTATGTACGTATTTGCTTGCTTTATTCTATTTTGTAATCCATGTCAATTCACAGTAAAACTACTGGGTGTTTTTTGCCATTCTTATGCAAGAAGCTGAAGTGTGTTGCTCAGGAGAAATGCCTTTGACCCTTAAACCCTGGTTTACAAATGAGATTAATTTGAAAAAAGAGAAAACTACAACATAAGTGTAGAAAGAAACTTTGATTTTTAATGTTATAATTTGTTTAAAAACTGCTTTCTTGTACAGCTTTCTCTGAAGGATCTTGAATCACCATTGCTTTAGTAGAGTACATTTCATAGAATAACATTGTGTTCCCTGAAGAAAATCACCAGAAAGATTAAATTGTCCTTTTCTGAAGAACCAGGACTCAAATAGTACAATTTTCTTTAGAAAATCACACTTAACAGAGCTCAGGCTGAGATGCTTTTTGTTCTGTTTTAGGAAAAAGAATCAAAGTTATTGAATTAAATTGTAAATATTAAAAAAAAAAAAAGGTTAATCACCTCACTTGCCCAAGCCATTTTTATGGCAATCATCTAACAGTAAGAGAGAAGCATACAGAACATTTTCTACTTATTAGTGTAACTGTTGCATCTCTTATGTTTTGCTGAATAACTCTAAGGTGTGACGTATTACCCAGTGTGGCCCTAAGATGCTAGATACATGAACAGAGGAAAAAACTCCTTTCTATATCTCTAGCTGGAGCACTTCTTCCCTGTATCTCTTTGAAGCTGATTGCCTGGCTGAGCACTGGAAATGCCACTTGTGTGTCTGTGTTCTGTAAATTAATCTCTCTAGATGTCAGTTATCACATCAGCGTGAAGACAGGAGATGTCCCTGGTGCCAGCTCAGACTCCAGAGTTTTCATCAAAATCTACGGTGAAAAAGCAGACTCCAGCAAAGAGACTCTCTTAGTCTCTGATAATGATCTAGGCAATTATTTTGAACGTGGTCGAGTGGATGAGTTTACTATAGATACGATGGACATTGGGAAGGTAAGAATTAATTGTAGGTGGCTCTGCACTTCATGCAAGTGTCTGAATTCCCAATCAACATAACACTCAGGACTGAATATGATGCAAGTCTCTGACTTTTACACTGGATATTAAGAAATACATTTTCTACAGACTATTGCACTGGCACTCTGACATACAAACTGGCATGTAAAGAGTTTTGTGAGTTTATAGTGAAATACATATGTAAATCATGTACATGAACATGGTGGAAGAAGAGGGTGCCAAGGATAGGTTTTTTTTGTGTATTTTAAGTAAATTCTGTTGGTTTTTTTCCCTGCCCTTTTGTTTTTTGTTTGGTTTTTTTTCAAAGATCAACAGAATACTGATTGGACATGATAACGTGGGTCTTCGGTGTGGCTGGTTCTTGGCCAGTGTCCAGATCATGGTTCCAGTCCAGGGAAGGCAATACATGTTCCCCTGCAACCGATGGCTTGACAAAGATGAGGCTGATGGCAGGGTGGAAGTGGAGGTCTACCCAAGTGAGATTTTGCCTATTGAGAAATGTAAGAGAAGACACATTGAGAAATGCATGCTGTTTTATAACTAGCACTAAATTTGTATCACTAGCATTCTTAAGGTAAACTCCACTGTGTTAGACACCAAAACCAAAAAGAGCTGTCCCAAAGAGCTTATGTTTGTAAGAAAAGTAAATTATTCTCCTCATGTTTTGTTTTCTAAAACAGCTGGAAAAACATTACTGAGGTTTTAATTTCTGTTTCCTGAGATTGTATGAACGATTTATGTCCTGAGCAGCAAAACAGCACAAGGCACTGTACTTCATTGCAATATCAGCAGGTTCTGCTTCATTCACATTTACTGCCTCCCTGTCCCAGTGCTTCACCAGCATACATCCCATCCTGCCTGTATTACTCCATTGCCTGGAAGAGAGGAGGTGTTTGATAAATAAGGACTGAATCCCTGCTGCATATTTGAGTTTCATCAGTAGATAAATTTTAAGGATATGGTTAAATTTGCCTTGGGATCTTGAGAAATGATGCCGTGGTTTTCCTCTGCTCTGTGTAATTCCCTCCCTTGTATAATATTAAGCAGGTCATTTATCCACGCCACAGTTAAAACTGGAATGAAATTCCCTTTTAAGGCTCTGCTTTGCACCACTCTGACACTGGCTTAATACTTGTTACAGGAAAACTGTTAAGCTAGTCCTTCAGTAAAGAGCTGTGTTATCTCACTTTTGGTTTAGATAAGAGCAAATGGTCGGCTACATGGTCATTTGTTAAGACAAGGTAATTTAATTTTCAACCTGAGCCCTAGGGAGTGTTGTTATTTGAGTTTCTCTGCTAATTTAATGGCTTTATTTTTGGAGTAGTGATAAACTACGAGGTGTCTGTAGTTACTGGAGACGTGCGGGCTGCAGGCACCAATGCCAAAGTCTTCATGCAGATTTATGGCGAGACTGGCAAAACTGAACTGATCACCTTAGAAAACAGATCGAACAACTTTGAGCGGGGAGCCACAGATATCTTCAAGGTATGATGAAGGCAGTCATTGCTGCTTCTATGAGTGGAAAGAAATGACCAACCAAATCTGAAACATCTACACAATAATTGGCCCAATCAGACGAACAATAGACTTTTTAACAAAATTGCCAGGTCTGTTGGTATCTGCTGACCTCTATCCATATTTTGGGGAGGTTTTGTATTTCTTTGGGGAAGTTTTGTGTTTTGGGGAGTGACTTTCATTTTCTGAGCGTCTGGTAAGAGAAATAGCATGGAAGAATACAGTCTAGTAGCAGCATTTGTTTACTTTCAGAGTAGGTATTCAGGTTAGACCTCCAAAGACCTTAACCTTCTATTTGGGCCTGACGACATGTTACTGTCCCTTTTCTTTATCTAGCTGGGGAAAAAGAAACCCTGTACAGAATAGAAGATATCCTGACCTTGCCTGTGGTCACACATGCTGTTAACCACAGGTACATGTTGTCAGGCCAGCCCTGCTGAGGTTTGTTGCTGTAATTTCTGAGAACATGTGAGTGCCCCATGGATTTTACTGCCTGTAGCAGCACTCCAGGGTACACTGCACCGGCATGGTGCTTGGGGTGTATAGCACACTCCTTCAGATGCCCGTCTTGCCACTATTTAGGTAATGGGATGATCTTCTTTCATGGATGAGGTTTCAGAACAAGGACAGGATGTGCTGTCAGGGCATGTCATAGCCATGTCATAGCCATGTCCTTCTGTATTGAAGCAACCTCAGGAGAGAGTAAAGCACAAAATACAGATGGAAGGTAGGCATTAAGGCACATCTGTCATATGTGCTCACAGCACAAGGCTCAGAATGGTGGTACCTCGGTCTCCTTGTGAATTTGCAGTCCCACAGAGGTGGGATCCAGCTTATCACAGTTAAGCACCTACTTGGAGCTGGTCATGGAAGACTGGGGTATTCTTTCTATTATCACTGATCAAATGAAGGTGCCTTTATCCACAGCTTTACCACAGTTCTGAAATGTGCATTTTTGAGATCAGTTCAATTCACCTGCCTCAGTTTCATGCTTTATAGAATGGATTCAGTGCTGTTTATCCAATTTTAATGAGTTCTTTGGGATGTAAGATGACTAGCACCTTATAAATGCTTGCCTTTTTAAGACTGTCTATAATTTTAAGATTAGGCTTCTCTGATTTTAAAAGAAATAAGCTTTCAAAATTTATGAGTAAGAGCTATTAGCCCATATCAGATTTATAGTAAAGCCATATGTACAGTGTTCTGTTTACATAGCCATGCTTATATCCTCAGATGTTTATTGCTGGACTTCAAAGTTCTGCCCATTTTCAGTGTGGAGTTGGTTGTTCTTTTTTTAATAAGCACCCAAGGCAGAAGCTCTGAGGCATTAATATAAAGATTCTCTATCTCTTTCATTATATGAATATTTACAGAAAGATATGGGTAATAATAAGATTCTTTGAGCTACATGCTAATAGGAAATGACATCAGTTACAAGACAGGGCAAGCAAAACGATTATAGCAAATCCAAGGGTAAAGCAATGTAAGAAAAGACACATTTTTTATGCAAGGACAGCTGGATCAATTTTAGTTTTCTGATAAGCATCTTGTGTGCAATTGATTTTTGTTTAATCTGCTGTAGAAAGATTGCTTCTAGACTGAAACCTTATATGCAAAGTTGCCAGAATTCAGCCTGAAGCAAATGTTTGCAAGTTTTATAACATAAACACTGCCTAGCAGCATAAGCAATCACCAGAAACAAGCCATTTGTTGTTGAAGGATTTCATGGAGTAAAACTTCCTATCCAACTTCATTAGGTAGTAATCTGGACAAATAATCTAAATGAAGAAGGTTTTGTATTCACTGTATTGACTGGAGATATGGAAACCTTCTTACTGATACAGCTGTCTTCCACTGATGCATTGTAATCACTAATAATTGCATCCTCTCTGCACAGTAGTGAAGTGATAAATACTTTTCTAATTTTCCAGATAAGAAGGATGGTCCATGTCAGAGATCAGGTTATATGAGTCCATGTTTACTGCCCGTTTGCTTTACCATCATTGCTTCTTGCTTGGTTCTTGTCTTGTGCAAAGTATTAAATGTAACTTATTATTAATTTAAAAACTACCTCAGGGACTGAGAATCTCTAAAAAACCGAGTATGATATTCTAGCATATTCACCTTTAATGCCAACATAGAGACAATACTGGTGAGGAGAGCAATGTCAAAGTAGGGAGCCCAGTAAATATGGATTCAGCTCCTATCCTAGCCATGTTTGTTCTGAACATATTCAGCTCAGTCTGTTCAGAAGATGAGATTTGGTGATGGAAAGTGTGAAAGAATAAAATAGGAAGGAAAAAGAAAAGGTAAGCTTGCACAAAAAGTTGATCCTATGCTTGCTTAAATGTTTTGGGTGGTAGAGGTGATGCTGCTCATTTTTAAGAATGCACTTTATAAAGTTGTCTTATATCCTCCTGGATGCTGACTTTCCCTTGGTGACAGAGAGAGGCTGCAGATGTTGGCAAGATATATAAGATTCGGATAGGCCATGATGGGAAAGGCATTGGGGATGGCTGGTTCCTGGAGAGTGTCACGCTGAAGCGGCTTGCCAAAAGGACGAAGGACCCTGATGAAAAGAAGAAGAAAAAGAAGAAGTCCGAGGAGGAGGAAGAAGAGCAGACCAAGGAGGAAGAAGTAATGGATATCTATACGTTTGTGGCACACCGCTGGTTGGCTAGAGATGAAGGAGATAAGGAGCTTGTGGTGGAGCTGGTGCCTGAAGGAGAATCTGACCTGGAGGGTAAATGTCAGAGAGAATGTTTGTGTATGTGGATACAGCAGTTGCATGCAGAATGATAACCACACTGTGGTGTTTTGCAGGACCATTTATGGCCCTGCAGCAACCCCATTGCCCCAGGTCTGCAGTGTAGCTTACACTGTGGTTTGATTAATCAGCTCTGGGGAGGAAGAGTACAGTGGTTAAACAAGGGGAAAGGGGGAGGAGACAGCCCAAAATGGGAGTATCCTAAAGATACTCCCATTCTGTAGAATGTCTGTAGATACAGATCTCTACAGACACCTCTAGAATTCTTCAGGGCTTCTCTCCAGTCTTGAATCAAACAAGTTACCACAGTGGATGGGAGTTTGGCAAACTCTAAGTATTCACGTTTAGTGAAAAGGGCTGAAGAAAGATAGAGCTGCTCATGTTTGAAGATAGCGGCAAACAAGCTCCAGACAAAATCTTTATTAAAGATGACTTGTGCTGGCATTCTGGGGCTCCATCAAAGCCATGGATCTGATGAAATATGGCTATTTCTGGTATTCTGATCTGCTCTTGCAATTTTACTTGCAGAAAATACGTATGAAGTCCATGTTCTCACTGGGAGTGTGGGTGGGGCTGGGACGGATGCTAATGTCTTCTTGAGCATCTATGGCATAGGAAGAGGAGACACGGGTGAGCGCCAGCTGAAAAGGTCGAATAATCTCAACAAGTTTGAAAAGGGACAGGTAATGCATGAACTCAACTCACTCAAGCACGCAGGAGGCTGGCAGATCTCTCAGTTATCATGCTGGCCTTACATTCTCCGCAAGGCTTGGCTTCTTCTTTCAGCTTACAGCTCAGATGAGTTTTATTTCTTAGATACATTATTTAAAGCAAAGTGCTTCTAAACATTTTTCAGGGGAAATCTGTTTGAATAATAAGCTGAGCACCAATTTTACATTGAAGCTACCTTTTGCATCTGCTTCCTGTGAGCATTCTGGTAATAATGTTTGAAAACCACAAACTCTAAATTAATATTGGAGAATATTGTGAGGGAACTCAAATATGTCAAAATTTAGATTACAAATATGATTCTAAATGTTCTACTCAGCCACTCAGGAAATAAAAACAGTATTACACTATGTGCTGTAATTGCATTATAATCCAGTCCAATTGAACAATATCTCTTGGAGGTTAAATACTTGCTATAAAAATGTTCATGAACAATTAACAAGCTAGTATTATAGCCAGGTATTGCTTAAGGAATAATTCTGAATAACAAAAAAATTACAGAAACAACAAGCAGCTGTGGAAAACTTGCAATCACAAAAAAAGAGCCTAAGGTTGTTAAATAAGATTTTTGCTGTGATTTATAAACTTGGCACTGGTGAAACTGCAACCTGCACATGGTTTTTCATTCAGTGGGAATAGCTCCAAGCTGCAAATAAAACATTCTGTGCTCTTGGAAATAGAAACCCAAAGTCCACCAACAAGTTAATCACATTAAGATGCTTAAAGTGTTATGATAACAAAGGCCATCCTGTCATACTAATGCACGTAATAAATGAACCTCTTGGTTGTAGTAAAAATAGGAAGAAATTCTGTGGATTGAAATAAAACACATGGAGGTGCACAGGAGAGTTTCTATGTAGTCAATACTTTTGTGTGCAGTTCCAGATTCAATCTGAAGGGAAATACTAAACCTCAAAGGGATGAGATTTAGAACAAACAAGTTAAACATAGAGGAAGCTGAAACTGAAAGAAATGAGTGAAAGGTTGTGAAGCTCAATTTAACTGCCTTGTAGAAGCCAAGAATGAGTGTTAATGGGAGAGCTCAACTCTGTAATTAGTACATTCACGCAAAGTGGGTGTAGAAATACCTATTGTTTTAATGGGAAAAAAGATAACCCTTGCCCATTTCCTGCCTCTCTTTCCCCTTTTCTGGGAAATCTGTCATTTGTCTCTTGCCTCCTGTGCAGGTGGATGTGTTCACCATCAAAGCCATTGACCTGGGTGAACTGAAGAAGCTGCGTATCCGCCATGATAACTCGGGAAACAGTCCAAGCTGGTTCCTGGAGAGGGTAGAGATTGTTGACCTCAAGGACAGCACCACGTGAGCAGCCTGTTGCACCCTTTTTGTATGGTCAGAAACAGGGTGCACATTCTCAGGATCCCACAGAACCATGGGAAGGTGCAGGAGATACAGGAGGGTATCACTGTAGTTCCTCGTCATCTCACAGGAAGCCTGTGATGATTGTGCTGCAGCACCTCTGTGGGCAGTTTTGCTGCCCGAGCATCTCTGCAGTTTGGGAACCAGCAGTGTTTTGAAAAAAAAAACCTCAGCTTTTCTGTGTTTCTCCTGTGAGGGACTCTCCCTCCTTGCAGAGCCTGCACTCACGTTTCCTTTCAATGCTCCGCTCTGGAAGTTCCTGACCTCACATTTTGTTTGGTTTTTTTTGCACTTAATGTGAAGATCTGGGCCAAAACCAAGCTACAGTCTAAGCAAACTTCCATGATTTTCACAGACAACCGGATAAGCAAAGCCTGGGTTGTAAGAAGCCTGAAATACAGGCTTGCCTTTGATCTGGAACGTGCTTGAAGTCACATGCTTAATAGCTGTGCAGTGCTCTGGTGGGTGGGACTGCTTGTAAGGTCCTCAGAATGGGTCCGTTCTTTGTAAGTGTAAAATGCCTGAGAAACTGGAGGCTCCCCTGAGTTATTTAACTTTTTTTCCGGGAGTGAAAACCAAAAGAAATCATTTGTATGAGGTTGAGAGCTCAGAAACATCACTTTACAGTAAGTGCTCCCTAACCTATTTACAGATTTAACTCCCTCAAATGATACAGAGCTCAAAGAAAACTAATGTATTGTTCAGCTTCAAGTATTTTTGCTTTTTGCTTTAAAGTAGCCTCTGATCTCTGCTTGTGTATGTTTAAAGCCTGTGAAGTACTGTGTAAGTGCTGGGTGCTGCTGTCATTCTTGTAGGTATTATTTCCCATGCCAGCGGTGGTTAGCAGTTGAGGAAGATGACGGTCAGATTGTCAGGGAGCTGGTCCCAGTGGATGAAGCATTTGTAAAGAAAGATTCGGAAAATGAAGGCCAGTCTCTTGCAACGCTGGGCCTGGAACAGAAAGGTTTATGTTAGCCTTGTATTTCTTCCAGTGTGGGGTTGAAAAGAAACCAAGTTATTAGCATTGCTGAGGGTATTAGCAGTTAGCATGCACTGGGCTGTGTGTAATTCTGCCCTGACCATGAAATTTTCAGGTGTTAATGAAGTGTGAAGTGCATGTTAGCCAGTGAGGATGGACATTCCTCATTTTTAGGTGATTTAATCATCCTGCATGATTGGACCCAAAGTGAGAAAGCTGGGAAGATGTATAACACATTCAGTCATCATCTCTTAAGTGAAATGCACACTTGTTGCTAATATCTGAGGTGTGAATCCCAGTCCTTTCACATCATGGACTGGAATGGTTGAACACTCCAACATAAACCAAGCAGAGAGCAAACATAACCAGAGAAAGGGAAGGGACCTATATATGTCTTACTTTCCATCCTGCTGCTTGTGTCCATTGTCTTCCAAAATAACTTTGTTTCTCTTGCATGTAATTTTGCACAGTAACCACAGATCAATGACACAGTCTTGCATCTTATACTGAATGTGCCCAGCACTTCTGTTTCTTCACTGCCAGTGAAAAGTCCTAAACTCACCCCTCATATGCTTTCAAATACAAGAATAATTTCCACAAATGCTATAGCCAACAGATTTCCACAAACTGGGTATCCCTTTGGTTCAGGAGGACCTTCTGGCTGAGCAGCATCTTGGAAACATATGTCTAACTGTGGAAGAAAGGTGACAATTTGGAAATCTTGAGTAGGTTTTTGCAGTGCAGTGATAACTATAATAGACTTTTCCACAATTTTCATGAGTTTAAAGTGCCTGCTAGATGATGGTGTGATAGAAACCTACCTAAGGATGCTGTGATAAAGGGTGTGTTCATGAATACGAGCTGCATATGTCAACATGCACATACTTCATGGTGTGTGCTATATGCACATATATATTATTTGGTGCTATTAGAATAAGCAGGGTAATGTGTTGGGTTTTTTAAATGAAATAACATTATAGGTAGAGGTGGATTTGAAGAGCCTTACAGATTCCCAGGAAGCAAATGGGAAGGCTTGAGCACATTTCTTATCTATAGATATGCAGACAATGTACTGAATGGCTGGAGCAGTACATTGAGTCTGCAACTAAATATCCCAGCTTACTCCAGGAGCTACCACAGAATACAATGAGAATTGGAGATTATAATCAAAATAAAACCCAAACCAAACACACATATGCAATGAAAAGTAGAGTTAATTTCTTCTCAGACTTCACACCCTTTAATAAAGGTATTTTATCTGACAGCTAAATCAACAACATACACTGTGAAAGTGAAAACCGGGGACAAGAAGAATGCTGGGACAGATGCCAATGTCTTCATCACACTCTATGGAAGTAAAGATGATACAGGTATGGCTTCACATAATGGAAAAGGATAGCACCTCACTGCTGGACACCTGAAAAGGCAGGTCACGATTCTGTCAATACCCATTCTTCTCTCCTTTTTAGCACAATTCCTTGTTCTTGCTGTCCCCACATATATCGTGGTAAGTGGGAGAATACCACCAGCTGCTGTAAATCACTGCTGAACTTTGCAATGCTGATTTGCACAGCTGCTGATGTAAAGGCTTTAATTTCAATTACAGAAACAGCACAGTTGACTGGGACTACATTACCAAGTACTGAATGTGGTGAATGATTTGCTTTCCTCAGAGATGAATCAGCATGCTCCTGAAATCCAGTTCTCCTCTGCCTTTTTGAGTAGCTCAAAAGTATTTAATCAGCTGATGAACATATCCTCTTGGAAACAGCCACGCTGTGTGTGCAGCGACTCAGATGTCTATGAGAGTGATAAGGAACTGATAGGCAGGACTGATTTCTTTAGCTGTGAACATAGTACACCAGCATCGTGCCTGTGACAGTGCCAGGGGATCACTCAAGAAAGGAATTCTGTGTGTTTTGCTTGTTGATGCAGGTTTGGGTTTGGGGGAAGGGACAAAGCTCAGATCTTGTGATGAAAAGCCAATTTTTTACATTTTAGCCACTTCCCTCATGCCATTGGTGACATTCTCAAAGGATTTGTTTCACATGCTGAACAATGTCCTTTTGCCTCACTGCAACAGGGATAGTCAGCCTAAAGGCCTCAAAGACTAACAAGAACAAATTTGAGCGTGGGAAGGTAGATGAGTTTACAGTGGAGTCTGTGGACATTGGAGACCTGAAAAAAATCAAGATAGGCCATGACAATAAAGGTAAGATAATCTGCTTTGTAATGTAGTATTTCTAGTGTGTTAGGCACATTGCTGTATAAAATTACCTGCCTCCAAGACCCCAAACCTAATTTAGCTTTTAATGACACATCCTTGTTGTCTCTTTGGCTGTTGTTGCTACTATAGCACAGTGGTGGCAACTTAATGGTAGCTTTGCAACCTCTCTCTCTGCAAAGGGCTCTCTAGTTTTGCAGCTGCATCTTTAGAGAGATTTTTCATGCATCACCAAACCATGGTTTCTTGTTTTTTTGTTTTTTTGTTTTTTTTTTTTTGTCATATCTATAGGCTTGTCTCATTTATTTACGAATATTTTTGTTGTTTCAATCATCAGGGCTTGGCTGCTTTTTAGATATGGCTGTGTCTCTACTGCAAACAGGGGAAGGAGTGGAAGGATGCATGGATTCCTTCCCTATGGGGCATCAAGGGACATGTTTGTTGATACCTCCCTGTCTGACTACAAAAGCAAATTAATCCAAAGGATGTAGTGATTAGCACTTCCACATGCACATCTTTAACCTGAGACATAGAAATGTAAAGCACATTAGCTCAAACCTGGACAATTTCTTGCAATGATCTTTATGGTATCCATTCTATTTTTCCATCTGCAACAGAGAGGTAGAATTCTTTCTCAAAAGTCTGGAATTCAGCACTTCATTTGCTGTTGTCTGTAAAGGCTTTGTGGATTATTCACTGTTATCTCTCCAAACATAGGTAATTCAACTGGCTGGTTTCTGGAGTGGGTGGAGCTTGATGCCCCATCACTGGGACAGTGCCTCAAGTTCCCTTGTGGCCGTTGGTTGGATAAATCAGAGGATGATGGAGCCATTGAAAGAATTATCTTTCCTGCAGAACTGCAGACAACAGAGTATATCCCATGTGAGCAGAATGCCAATTCCCCAGGATACACCCATCGTACAGAAGATAAAATCTCACTAGCTCATGCAGTTTTATTGCTTTGGCATGTCCCTTGAACTGGCTTTGAAAAATTTGTAAATGAATCACATGACAACTATTCTGATTATTACAAAAAGGTTCATCAGGGTGCCCTAGACCAGCATTTCCTGTATTTACCAAATTAGAGAGTCATGAGAAGCCATGTGGCTTTGTATGATTGTCTTCTTGCTCCCACTTGCCCTGTCACCTCCTAGTCCTCACTCCATTCCAAACTGTCTTCTTTGTCTCCAGTTTCCCTTTGATCTTGCTCCATTTTAGTATTGCTGTTTCTGTTGACAAAGTGGACACTTTGGTCCTGCTTCCAAGCCTTGGGTCCCTCAGTGCCTTTGGCACTGCACACATCTCTCTTGTTGAAAGACCCTCTTCCACAATTTCTTCAGTGTTGTGCTTTTCTGATAGTATTGCACCAGTCTGCCTCCTTCAGTGTTCTCCAGCTTTCCTTATTCTTCACTTCCCTCTAAAGTAATGTTTGGGGTAAACTCAGCTATCTCTGAGTAATAAGCTTCTGATTTTCAAGTCTGCTATGATATCTCAAATTCTTCTATTCAGGCAAATTCCTTTCCTTTCTCCAGAATATTGAGAATCGGATAATATGGTTTTCTTGAATAAATGACTGAAAATGTTATTTTGCTTATTTTGTAGCCCTCTCTTTCCTTTTTCTCATGTGCATCCTTGACTGTTTCAGGGAACTCACAGCACCATGACTGTTTGATTTGTCCCTCCTTGATCTGTTTCATTTCAAGTTATTAACAAATAATATTTCCCGAGCCACCCTCAGGGGGCTATCAAAACTGCCTTTTCCCTTTATTATGTTGGATGCCAAAGTGATGCAGGAGGAGGTCTGGAACCTGTGAGTTGCTTTCCATCCCCATGCCCTGGAGAGGTGCTCCCTAGGTTCATGTTGATGGTTTTCTTGACACTGGCTGACCAACCCTCCAGTGTCTGGATTCTCATACCCTTCAGTCTATATGCTAAAATCATAGAATCGTAGAACGGCTTATGTTGGAAAGTACCTTAAGATCGTCTAGTTCCAACCCCTGCTCTGGGCAGGGACATCTCACAGTAGATCATGTTGCCCAAGATTCTGTCCAATCTGTTCTTGAACACTGACAGGGATGGAGCATTCACAACTTCCTTGGGCAACCCATTCCAGTGTCTCACCACCCTCACAGTACTGAACTTCTTCATTATATCTAACCTGAACTTTGCCTGTTTAAGTTTGGACCCATCACCCCTTGTCCTGTCACTACAATCACTACAAATTATCTTTCTTCTCTGAGGATCTGCAAAAGTCTTCTTTTTGTGACTCTCGTATGCTTTGGCCAAGCTACTTCTTTTGTTTCTCATGTCTTGCCTTCTTTGCCTAAACTGTCTGGAGCAGAAGAACAGATACTGTCTGCTCCCTTCCTCACTTTTGTCAACTGGAAGACATTTAGTCTTTGTGTCTGAAAAAATGAATTTGTAGATGCAGTGAGTAAGTTCAACGGAATGTGTATAACCCAGAGACATTATATGTGTTTCTCATCAGGTTTTCCCATGTTATCCCCATCAATATTTGTCTGCAGATGTTCACTATATAATTTATTAATGTCCCTGTATATCACAATGAGGTAAGGGTTTCCGGCATACCATGCCTCTAAGTACATAGTTTGTGTAAACCTGATTTTTGTCAGCAGTCCACATTCAGCCTTTGAAAATAGGCTTCTCCAGTGAAAAGCTTGCACTAGATTTGGTGTCAGATTTGGCTCTTTCACCATTTAAACCATTCCCACTGTGCTATTTACTGCCTTCTGGTTTCCTAACTATTAACCCTGGGCTTTCAGCTTGCCAGAGCTAACTAAACCGGTTTGATGTGTTTTATGGTGACTTGTGCCAGAATTGTTTCACGCTGAACAAACGATAAAAACATGTCATCATCAGCCCAATTAAAATCATCCCTGTGGGGATACAATTTTAAAAGTGCCATGTAAATGAAACGGGCGTCTGACAGCTGAAAGTTGTGCTGCTGGTGACCTTGTCACAGTGCCACTTTGCTGATTCAGTTCCAAGCCGACGTTAATATTCAAGCAACAAGAGCAAGCACCATGAACTTCAGCAGAGATCATTTTTAATTCATAATGCATAGAATGTGATTTTTGATCTCCAGGATTATTTTTTTTTCCTCCTCTTACATACTGGAAAAACTATTCTAGTTTGCTTGTAGCACAGCAGAGTGAATTTCATTGGGTTGGAGAGAAAAGAACATTAAGTATCTCCAGGCTGACTCTCTGTAGAAGAAACTTCATCTATGTTCTTCTGAGAGCTGTATTTAGAGAGCCTGAGTTTTTAATGATTGATTAGTCTCTGATACACATAATTAGAGTTACTCCAACAGTAACAGTTATGGTGCCAGAAACCTTCTCTCTACCCTAACAGAGATGCTGAATCTGTAATGTAGCACAAGTCGCTGCAGTGTAGGAGGATGCAGAAGACAATCAGCTGAGAAGATAGTAGTGAGGGTGGGAAATGGTGGAACACTGAGTGGGCTGTGGATGGAAGAGGGATGGCCAGGCATGGATCCTAATGATAGCCCTGGCTGTGCTTGAGAATAGCAAGGTGGACTACACGGACTGTGTCTGCTTGTGGCAGGAGAACTCCCTGTGATAACTCAGTGGTGCCCAATCAGAGCGGGACACAATTTGGTTTGCCAAATGGCACACCTGAATTTGCATGTCCTCATGGCACTGGAGTGTCTGAATTCCTTTTATCATCCCTAAATGTTTTTTCATTCACAGAAAGTGAATATGGAGAATGATTCAGCTAACCCTGAGGAAGATGCCTCATTTGCTTGTCTGATTCTTTCTTCAAACTGCATTGGCTTTAGTGATTACATCTACAGATGTACACACCTATCTGATGTGCAGACACCTCAACACAGGTTTCTTACTCTTGTGAGATAAACACCATCTCACTTTGGAAACAGGAGAGTCAGCAAATCTGCAGCAGAGCCAGAACAGAGCCTTATTCATAGACTCATAGAATAGTTAGGGTTGGAAAGGACCTTAAGATCATCAAGTTCCAACCCCCCTTCCATGGTCAGTCTTATTCCTGAGCAAGTCTGAATCATGTTCCAGCACAATTCAGGACTGAGGAGCTATGAAGATAGGAAACAGCAAAAGGACTTACCAGATTCTGGGGTCACAAGACATTCTGAAGAAACCAAGGGAACAGAATAAGGAAGTATTTAGGGCTTGACCTTCACGGTTCTGCATTCACGGGTGACCTGGTAGTTTGACTTGGTGTTACAGAGAAGGTAGTATAAAGAGTGGATGACAGAGAGTTTTACTTCTTTTCATTATGATTGATTTTTGTCACTTGTTTAGTAATTAAAATAATAGATATTTTTACCAGTAAGGCTATCTCAGATATTTATGTACTGCTCCACCCCTCTGAACTTTATCTATCTGCCCAGTTGCTCTAAGAATTCTGACTTCATGTTTTGCTTTAAGACTTGAGCTGTTGAAGCAAGTCTCATTTCAATAACTTTGGATGGCAATCATAAATATACTGAGTGCTTTCTGGTCATGGTATTAACCCCAAAATATCAGTAAATGAACACACATCAAGGTCAATTGGCCTTATAAGGTTAAAGGAAGTTCCTTTGGCTTCTGGAAGTGTTCAAGGGGAGGTTAGACACAGGGGCTTGGAGCAACCTGGTCTAGTGGAAGGTGTCCCTGACCATGGTAGGGGGTTGGAACTGGATGAGCTTTAAGATCTCTTCCAACTCAAACCAGTCTATAATTCTATGATTCTCATGGTACTGACGAGCTTGATAATTAAATGACCATGCGTGATTCCTACCCCGTACTATAAAACTGTTGAATTTTCTAATCCAGATTTACTTCACTATTTTTTTAGGGTTATTTTAATGCTGCTTACTAACTTCTGATGGTTTATTACTTTTTGCCATTTCCAAAACCAGTTGTTCCTTATGAGATCACAGTCTACACCAGCGATATCTTTGGAGCTGGCACGGATGCAGATGTCTTCATTGTTCTCTATGGAAGTGATGGGATCTGCACTCAGCAGAAATCCCTGTGCCTCAACAAGAGAGAGCAAAGAATGTATTTTGAAAGGAACTCAGTCAATCAGTTCATTGTGGAGGTAAGACTGAAGATGCTTGCTCTCATTGGAGCAATGTAGAGATATTCCAGCTGCTCCACCCAATGAGCTGGCTTCATTTGGAGCTTGGCTCAGATGCCTCTATACAAACACCCGTAGCATGGGGAACAAACAAGAGGAATTAGAGATGTATGCATGTCTATGAGGAGATGATATAATAGTCATCACAGAAACATGGTGGGATGGTTCCTATGACTGAAGTGCTGGAATGGAAGGTTGCAGGCTCTTTAGAAAAGACAGGCCCAGCAGATGGGGAGGAGGAGTTCCTATTTATGTTAGGGATAGGCTAGAGAGTATGGAACTCTGTCTGGGGACATGTGAGCAGTCAATAGAGAGTTTGTGGGTCAGGGTTAAAGGGAGAACAGCGATGGGAGGCATTATTGTGGGGATCTGTTACAGATTTCCTGATCAAGAGGAATCTGTTGTGAAGCACTCTATAGACAGGAAAAGCCTCACACAGTCTTCACCGGCAAATGCTCTGACCACACCACCTAAGTTTTGGAAGGCAGACCCAGTGACTGTGAGAATGAAGACCTTGGGCCCACTGTGAGAGAGGATCTGGTTTGAGACCATCTTAAGAACCTGAATGTACACAAGTCCATGGGACCTGATGAAATTCATCCATGGGTCCTGAAGGAGCTGGAGAATGAAGTTGCTAAGCCACTGGCCATCATATTTGAAAAATCATGGCAGTCAGGTGAAGTTCCCAACAACTGGAAAAATGGAAATATAACCCCCATTTGCAAGAAGGGGAAAATGGATGACCCAGGGAATTACAGACCACTGAGTCACCTCTGTGCCTGGCTAAATCTTGGAGCAGATTCTCCTGGAAGGCATGCTAAGGCACATGAAAAACAACAGGGTGCTTGGTGACAGCCAGCATGGCTTCACCAAGGGGAAATCCTGCCTGAACAATTTCGTGGTCTTCTATGATGGGGCTACAGAACTGATGGACAGCGGTAGAGCAGCTGATGTCATCTACCTGGATTTGTGCAAAGCATTCGGCACTGTCCCATATGGCATCATTGTCTCTAAACTGGAGAGATATGAATTTGATGGATGGACCACTCAGTGCATAAAGAACTGGCTGGATGGCTGAACACAAAGAGTTGTGATCAATGGCTCAATGTCCAGCTGGAGACCAGTTACGAGTGGTGTCCCTCAGGGATCAGTGTTGGGACCGGTCTTGTCCAACATCTTTGTCGCTGACATGGACAGTGGGGATTGAGTGCTCCCTCAGCAAGTTTGCCTATGACACCAAGATGTGTGGTTCAAATGATATGCTGGAGGAAAGGAATGCCATCCAGAGGGACCTCAACACGCTTGTGAGGTGGGCTGATGCCAGCCTTATGAAGTTTAACCATGACAAGTGCAAGGTCCTACACCTGGGTTGAAGTAATCCCAGGTACAGCTACAGACTGAGCAGAGAAGAGATTCAGAGCAGCCCTGCGGAGGAGTTGGGGATGTTGGACAATGAGGAACTTAACATGAGCAGGCTTCAGTGTGCACTCACAGCCCAGAAAGCCAACCGTAACCTGGGCTGCATCAGAAGGAGCGTGACCAGCAGGTCGAAAGAGGTGATCCTGACCCTTTACTCTGCTTTTGTGAGACCACACTTGGAGTATTGTGTGCATTTCTGGTGTCCTCAACATAAAAAGGACATGGAACTGTTGGAACAAGTCCAGAGGAGGGTTATGAGGATGGCCAGAGGACTGGAGCACCTCCCGTATGAAGATAGACTGAGAAAGTTGGGGCTGTTCAGCCTGGAGAAGAGAAGGCTGCGTGGAGACCTCATAGCAGCCTTCCAGTTTCTGAAGGGGTCTATAGGGATTCTGGGGAGGGACTATTCATTAGGGACTGTAGTGATAGGACAAGGTGTAATGGGTTAAAACTTATACAGGGGAGGTTTAGATTGGCTATAAGGTGGAAATTTTTTACTCTACTGGTGGTTAGGCACTGGAATAGGTTGCCCAAGGAAGCTGGGAATGCTCCATCCCTGGCAGCGTTCAAGGCCAGGTTGGATGAAGCCTTGGGTGACATGGTTTAGTGTGAGGTGTCCCTGCCCATGGCAGGGGGATTGGAACTAGATGGTCTTAAATTCCTTTCCAGCCCTAACTATTCTATGATTTTATGATCTTAGGTTGCTCTAAAGGGATTAAGAAGATAAAATGGAGTGAAGTGGGAACTTCCCTTTTAGCAAAAAGCTTTTCAGCTCTTTTCTTAAGGAATTATGTTCTGCAGCTGGATCAAATATTTTCTTACACACCTTCAGTTAGTACTAATTCAAAGGTATCAACATGCAGTGTCATCATGGCTTAATGCCATGTTAAACCTTGTAAAGGTTTGAGCAATTTTATCATGGAGCTGAGATGTACGAATGCATAGATACAAAGGCTTGCCCTTCCTGGTAAAGTTGCAAGCCACTTAGGAAGGCCTTTACATCTTCCATTTCCTAGACCATATTTAGTAAAGAGAGGGTATCAGCCATTATGCGCACCAGATCTAATATGTGTACCTCTCCTTAACACTCTTATTTTTTTGCCTGTTTGCTTTCTTTCGCAGCCTGCAATACTTTGAAAGGTAACTGGAACCAGGTGCTTGCAGTATCACTGAAATTAGATGCTTGTGTTTAAGGTCCCTTTGCATCATTTCATGTTCCTGTTTCAGCATATCACGTTAAAGAGCCCATGGTGCTCACTACTTTTATAGCACATTATTTGGTGTACATGGTCTGTTCATTTATGCTAACTCTATGGCAAACTAAGCATCTCTTTTTCTCTGTATCCTTGGACACAGAGACCATTACCTTGCTGCAGTCAACATGATTTTTTAATATCGAGGGCTAACTTTTGAAATATCTTACCAAGCATTTCCTGAAGTGTCTACAGAAATAATAAATAATCATAGAATTACTGAGGTTGGAAAACACTTTTAAAATCGTTAAATCCAGTTGCTAACCTAAATTGCCAAGTCCACCAGTAAATCATGCTCCTAAGTACCACATCTACACGTCTTTTGAATACCTCCAGGGATGTTGACTCCACCAGTTCCCTTGGCAGCCTGTTCCAATTTATCTTAAGCAGAAACTCCTACTGTAGCACTTAAGGGAGAAAAATGCATAAACTTTTATAGATATCACAAATTAAGGAACTAGGCATCAGGGAAAAGGAAAGGATTCTATTTCTGAAATGTTTAATTCTATTTTAAGTCTTATGGGTTTTATTAAATAAATTTGGGGAGAAGGTTAAATCTCAAAGATCTTTTGCTTGCATATTCTGATAGAACTCTGCAGATAGTAAGCCAGTGCACATCAGTGAGTGAGCTCATTTACATGTAGAGTATTCAGCTATTCCCATTCATAATATACTCATTACTGAGAATTTTTAAGAGGCAAAACTATAGACAGTCCTGCTGTGGCTTATCCTCCTGGTACTGCTTCATGCCCTTACCCTCCATCCCTGGCTGCAACACCAACACTGACTTCACAGAAGACCTTAAAACCTCTGTATTTTGAGTTTGGTTTGTTTTTGTTATTCAAGGCAAATCTTAAACTAAACTTTTTAAACAAGTTAAAATACTTCCAGCCCACATTGTTGTTCTATGGCATGAGTCATAAAATAAATCCCCAGTGTGATTCCTTAAAATAAAGAAAAAGGCTTATTTGGTAGAGCTTCCACACAGTTTTTCATAATAGAGATTGTTTTAACCCATAGGTATAAATCTTACACTGGATGTTATTGTTATCCCTTTATTCCATAAGATTTATTTTAGGCTGGATAGAACCTGAAACATCAGTACTTTTCTTAGATGAAGCGAGTGGAAATGCCTTTTGTTCTCTAGATTTATAACATCATATTAACCTGTCCCCAAGCCTCATTTTGTCTTTGCCAGTTCCTCTTGCTTCAGGAGATTGGGATGAAGCAAAATATATTCTTCTTTCACCTACTTATGTGGATCCATAATTTGGAGTTCAACAGACCTTAAAAACAATTCGGGGATTTCCAAACACACGAACTGAGAATAGTCCATTTATTTTAGTGTTTTAACTGGCTTTACCATTTTGTATTTCACAAAAGAGGCAAAAAAAGGTTAGCAACTCTTCTCAGCTGTGCTCCAAAGTGATGATTCGTTGCAGGTGCCTACAGCAGAGTTAAGACCACTTCTTTAAGGTGGATCTTTACTTGTCAATCATCATGTTATTGCTATGTATTGATTAAAAGCCTCATTGAAAGATTAGTATTTGAAAGAACAGAAGAGGAGAAAATAATTTTCCCTTAGCACATACTTGTGTGTATGTGTGAGTTTCAGAAATAAGTTTGGATCATTTAATTATTTTGCAACGAATCTTATGCTGTCTAAGGTCAGGACAGGGCTGATGAAATCAAACCCAGTTTATATGGAGTGTGAAGCTCCTTGACTAGTATGGTCAGTCTTACTGCACTGATTACTGATGTCTTTGCTTCAGTATGAGGCAATTCTATCATCTGGGAAGTGAAGAAAAGACTAGTCTCCAGCGGTTCAAAGTCAGATACTCAGTTTTCTCATGTTTTCAAGAAAACAAGATTCCAAGTCCCTATGGATAGAAAGACAGCTCAGTGTGCTTCTCCTATGAACAAGAGGTTTGCAGCCAGCCTTACTTTATTTAAAGGCCAGCTATACAAAAACTTGCAGTGAAATAACCAAAAGCTGTTACTTAAGAGAAAATAGTTTTTCCTGTTCAATCCTTTGTAAAGGAGATGACTTAAAAGTAATGAACTAGTAACAAATTACTCAAGGGATTAAAAGACTGGTATCCACTTCATATGATAGTGACCCTCTTGACCTGTTCAGAATGATATTGGGATTCTGTAGCAGAACAGGAGAGATATGATATGAAATACCAGACTGTTAATATTGTACATTGACTGCAAAGCTATTCTTCCAGTGTTTTAAGAGTGTATATAAGTGTTTAAAATGAAAAAGGACATAAAATAACAGCTTAAAAAGCATCAGTATTGCAATTTCCAAGCATTTACTCTCATTCCCACTCATACATAGAAACCTGAGCTGAAGGATTGCTGCTGTGCAGCCAAATCTATCTCATAGCCAAATCTATCTCATACTGTTGGTAATTTGTGTAAGGTAAGATTGTCTCAATATTTGGAACAGAAGTTCAGGGAAATCCTGTAGCTAAAATTAAGGTTAGGGCATAACTGACATTAACTCTAGTATTTGCTCCCCTAGAACTTCGTACAGGCTGGAAAAATAGGAAATAAGCTAAAGAAGTAGTAACTCAAATATATGCTGCTCTTCAACATATCTCTTTCTCTCTCTCTTTTTTTTTTTTTTTTTTTTTTCTGTGGACGGAAAAAGCTGGAGGATGTTGGTGACATTATTGAAAAGATCCGCATAGGACACAACGGTGGAGGACTGAACTCTGGATGGCATTTGGACCGTGTTGCAATTCGGAGGTTGTTGCCAAATGGAAAGGTAGGCTGCAAATCCCAGCACTCTGCAGTATGTTTCCATTAGCAGCTGCTTCCATTTCCCAAAGTGCATCTTCTGTACACAAAGCATGATTAACAGTGAAAAATGACTCCCTAAAGGACAGTGCACACTGATGAACTTGCTAGAGCTTTGGCTATGGGGACAACAAACATGTATTACCATGTTTTATTCTTCAGATGTTGATTATAAGATTCTGCAGTCATTACTTTACTTAAAAAAAAAATCAAAAATGCTGTTTTCATTCTACCTGTTGACTAGAGTAGGGTTCTTTTATCCTGGCAGTAGATGGGAGAAAAGCAGTGATGTGGCTCCTCAACCTTTTGGAAGTCTTCGCTAATCTTTATCTGGTGTGTGAAGGAGCAATCTGCTTGCTGAGTTTGGAGGCAATAGCATCACGACTTGCTTGCTGGACTGAGAGGGAAGATTCTTGAGTCTGTACCCATCACTGTGCAAGTGCAGCTGAAGAAGTAGGGGCCTCAGCCAATGTCCCTGTGCTGCACTGCACCACTGTTGCTGTACATCTGAGTCCTAAAGGCTAGCTTAAATAATGGTTTGGGTGATGAAGAGATCAAAGGTTCGTATTTTCATGTGTAGTTTTGTTATGAACAATCACAGCATGGAAGTGAGTGTACTATTTCAAAATTAAAAAGTTACCGTTGCTAAACATGGCCAAGAAATAAATTCATCAGCCCCATAATTCTGGAAGAACAAGTGTAGGGAGCCAGTACAACTAAGACAAGCATCAGTGCAAGTCCCTGAATTACTTCTGTAAAAACCATCAAGTTAGGTGCTAGGACTTTTGGTCGATTATGTCAACAGGATTAAGGCAGTGCAGCCAGATAGGTCATCTTGACCTTGTCCACCTAAGAAACTGTTCCTCAGCTCTGCTTTCAGATATTGGCTGTAGAAACAGGCATGAATCTGGCTGTAGAGAAGTTAAGAAGACTATCACCTCTTCAGGACCAGTTCAGAATTGGAGCAGTAGCTTTGTTTGGCAACACCAGGGCTCTCTCCTCTGTCTTGTCCTTTCTCCCCTTATTCAAAGGGATGTCAGCTTTCATTTCCACCTCAGTGCTCAGGTCTGTCCCCTCCTGAAGTGAATTTTAATATCTAGTCTTGGTGTGAACACACCTTGTTCCGTCATGGTGAACCTACTTCTTGTCTTGTTCCTTCCATCAAAATTTCCAGGATACTTTTTAGTCTTTTTCCTCATGATCATACCAAAGGTCTGCCAAAACCTTCCTCGTCATGCTCAAGTCTGTATCCTCCTATACAAGCTTCTTCACAAGCCAATACCCTTTGATTCTTTATTATTATTAGCTTTTTGCAGGTCTGCTACGGTCAGACCCTTTATCTGCGTATTGACTAACCCTTGCTTTGTACAACTTCATTAAGTTAATGAACAAGACTACTTTTTTTGAGGTATTGTGATTGATCACAGGCTAGGGAAGGGAGATACACAAAGGTATGGAAATCAAGACAAAAGAGATTTCTGTGCTGCCATTTTCTATATCTACTGTTAACTGAGCACTTTGGGAGGCCCTAAGAGCTCCATGTTGCCTTCCTTTAGTCTAGAAAGGGTCTTCCTGATGCATAGCTCTGCCATCATTATAGCCACTTAAAGGACGATGAGAAATCCGGGAAAGTGGAAGAAGGAAGGAAACCCATGAACTATTTAAAAGTAGAAAGGTTTAAAAGTCTGCTGATCTTTTGATTATGGCATGGGAAGAAAAGACAAAAGCAGAACACTGCATGATGCCACTGATCAGCTGCAGGATATTATGACCTGACACAGCATAGCAATATGCTGCCAACACTTCTAAAAGCTGTGTTACCTGATTAGACTGCTAAGATAGGTCTAGATGTATCTGTAATAGTGCAAAAGAAAAATGAGGTCAGTAACTTTTCAAATTAAATTGAAAGCACTTGGGTTGGAAATGAGGATTGTTGCATGCCAGTAAAGCTCTGTCTTGGCATGCCAATTATATCTGATTATTGTGTTTCATTTGTTACAACCTGGAGAAGGGCAAAGCACTGATTTTTATCACACTATTGTACCCTGCTTCTAGCTTTGGGCCAGACTCAGAATGTAATGAAACAAATCCCGTTCAGAGCTACAAGAGGATGTTACTGTGGGTAACATAAAGCAGCACACTTTACGTCACTTAAATATTAATGCAACCACTAATAAGGAAACCCCAATAAAGACTGTGGCAATGACATGGTGATTAACAATAATGATATAATTAACTCTTGCAATAACTGCACATTATGCTCCACTGTGCGGACTCTCAAGTCCCTAGATACCCTATTAGCAAACAGTGTTCGTATCAATGGCATGTACAGCCAACATTATGAAAGTTTAGGAGCAGTTAAAAGCGTCAGCGTGAGGTGCGATCTCTACTTGAATAAGAGAGTTTCAGCACTAAAGGATCGTCTGGAAAGCCTTCTCTTCCCAGGCTGTAGGTGGGGAGATAAGCACCGTTCATCAGCCCAGCATGCAGTAAGATAACACAGGGTAGTCAGACAGATAGTGCAGAAATGAGTAGGCAGCAGTAATGGCATGGCCAGTCAGTAGGTGTTGTATTTTGCTTAAACAGCTCAAGTGACACTTGAAAGTGGAATATTTGAAATCATCCAAAGTGGTGCCAGTTTGACACCATTTTGTACTGATCATTGTCCAAACCGCTTTATGGATATAAACATTGCAAGTCTAGGGTTAAACAGCAGCACTGCAGGGAGCAGCAGAGAGGAGGAGAAATGGCATTTTGTTGACAGCAGAAAATTTAGGCTGTGTGGATATAAAAGATGATTCTGCTGCAGAGTCAAGACACTTGATCATGCAAACCCCTTGGAGGGGTTCAGCTCCTGCAGATGAACTCACCTGTGATCTGTGCACAATCATATGATGGCCCGTTCATGCAAGGTTAGCAGTGACTGAAGTGTGCCTCTGATCTTAGGTGCCTCTGATCTTAGGTGCCTCTGAACCTATTTCTCCCCAGCGGCCAAGTCAGAAAGGGCAGGATCTGGCAGCTGAAGGCAGTAGTACACAATGATAGCAATAGTCAAGATTGCTACAGGGAGAGCTATTCCCTTCTTTTACTATATATTAATATTTTAGTATTTAAACAGTAAAAAATAGTGAAGAAAGGATCCTGTATTAGTTTGATAAATAATTACATGAGAGTAATTAAGGTGGACAGTATTCATATGTATATTATATATAAAACTGCTGGTACATACAGTAGCAGAAGAAACTTTCTGTGCTGCTTAAGAGAGAATTTATGAATTTGTCAGTAAGGAAAAGGCCATCTTTTTTTATCCCTTTATTTAGTTACTGTGAGATTAAAACTAATGTTTCTTTTTCTGTTCGGACTTGGGGTCTCTGCAGCTTGTATGACAGCTCATGCCCCCTTTTTTATGGAGACATAGCCCGGGGTGCCCAGCACACAGAAAGCTGCCTGCATCTTACCATCTTGGAGGCCTTATGGGAGTCTGTTCTTAATGAGTAGTCTGGGATTGATTTTGTTTACCAAGTAGAAAACACATGTTCTATTGTTTTTGTTTGTTTGATGATAGAAATCATATTCGTTTCCACCAAAATGAAGTCAAAACAAAAGGTCAAAAGATTAAAACAGTATTTTTCCCTCTTAATGTGCATATGGGAATTGCCTGGAAACCAGCTTGAGTCACAAAATTATAGGGCAAAAACTTGAAGTACTGTCTCAGAAAAAAACCCTACTAACTTCCAAGAGATAGCTGCCTGAATAAGGATAGAAGAGGAATTGCAGTCTCAGTTAAACATGGCTTCAGAAGGAATGGTGCAGTCCTGATTAGAACTTTGCAAGATTAGGAATTTGCAAGATCAAAAACTGGGAAGGGCAGAGATCTGCTGGTTCATACATCCAGTCTCACACAGCATTGGGAATACTGTTCGCTGCCTCTTCTCAGAGTCAGCAGATGTCCTCTTTCTGGAGGAAATGTATTTCTGTATACTATTTCAGGTCTGCATCTGCATACAAACACATACAGATGAGCTGAAAATCCTTGCCTGCATGTCAAGAGTGTTTTCAAAGGGGAAATGCTAATGTGTTCACATTGTTTTGAAGAGATTATCTCTGTCATGTTCACTTCAGGGCTCAGAAACTGTCACATTTCCATGTGAAAGATGGCTTGCGAAGTCTGAGGATGATGGCGAGATTGTCAGAGAACTGGTACCATCTGAAATTTTTACTGAAAAACTCATGAAGGATGGGACACTTAAGCAGATAGAGGAAGAAGTTGAAGACCCGTTAGAAGGTAACGTAAGCCTTGGAGTAAGTAGGGACCTTTTAATCTGATTTGATTTTTTTTTTTTTTTTAAGTAAAACACGTGTGGTTCAGGCAAATGCAATGCTGGTATGACCGTTCACATTTTTTTGCCTTCCTGTTATCTGCCTTCTCTTATACCTGAAGCAGTTTCATGGAATAATACCATTACTTGCCTGTAGGCCATTTTTAAACCTGTCACAGACACCCTTTCACAAAGACATAGCTTGCACATCTCTAATGCCTAAGAAAATTCTTCCATCCTCTCTTCCAGGCTCTGCAAACATTTGTCCAACTTCACCTGTCCTGTACACTCTGCCACTTCCTTTCCTACCCTACCAGTGCCACTGAGGAGGAGAATCATAGAATCATAGTATAGATAGGGTTGGAAAGGACCTTAAGATCATCTAGTTCCAACCACCTGCCATGGGCAGGGACACCTCACACTAAACCATGTCACCCAAGGCTCTGTCCAACCTGGCCTTGAACACTGCCAGGGATGGAGCATTCCCAGCTTCCTTGGGCAACCCATTCCAGTGCCTCACCACCGGTACATTCAAAAACTTCCACCTTATAGCCAATCTAAACCTCCCCTGTACAGGTTTTAACCCATTACACCTTGTCCTATCACTACAGTCCTTAATGAAGAGTCCCTTCACCAGCATCCTTATAGGCCCACTTCAGATACTGGAAGTCTGCTATGAGGTCTCCACGCAGCCTTCTCTTCTCCAGGCTGAACAGCCCCAACTTTCTCAGCCTATCTTCATATGGGAGGTGCTCCAGTCCCCTGATCATCCTCGTGGCCCTCCAACAGTTCCATGTCCTTTTTATATTGAGGACACCAGAAATGCACACAATACTCCAAGTGAGGTATCACGAGAGCAAAATAAAGGGGCAGGATCACCTCCTTCGACCTGCTGGTCACGCTCCTTCTGATGCAGCCCAGGTTACGGTTGGCTTTCTGGGCTGTGAGTGCACACTGAAGCCTGCTCATGTTAAGTTCCTCATTGACCAACATCCCCAACTCCTTCTCCGCAGTGCTGCTCTGAATCTCTTCTCTGCTCAATCTGTAGGTGTGCCTGGGATTGCTCCGACGCAGGTGTAGGACCTTGCACTTGGCATGGTTAAACTTCATGAGGTTGGCATCAGCCCACCTCACAAGTGTGTCAAGGTCCCTCTGGATGGCATTCCTTCCCTCCAGCGTACCAACCGAACCACACATCTTGGTGTCATCGGCAAACTTGCTGAGGGAGCATTCAATCCCACTGTCCATGTCAGCGACAAAGGTGTTGAACAAGACCGGTCCCAACACCGATCCCTGAGGGATACCACTCGTTACTGGTCTCCAGCTGGACATTGAGCCATTGACCACAACTCTTTGTGTTCAGCCATCCAGCCAGTTCTTTATGCACTGAGTGGTCCATCCATCAAATCTATATCTCTCCAATTTAGAGACAAATTAGAGTATAATAAATTTATTATTAAAATAATAAATAGAATAACAAAAAAATAAATTTAGAGAATAACTACTTATTCAGTTCTGAGCCTCTCTCAGTGTTCTTATGCTGTGTTTGCCTTTCCTCATAGCTGAAGCAACTTAACAAGAACTCAAGTTTCATTCCAAACTTGTTGCTTCTCTGTATGTCCAGCTGATCCTAAGTATTTTTCCTCTAGGACCTACTTTTTCCACTCTTTCTGCCCCTGGGAGAAGTCATGAACCTTCCTACACTCTGAGCAGAGCAAATTGAATTCAGCTGCCATTTTTATTCTTGGTTCTTGCATCTGGCAACAAGATGATTCAACAGAGAAAATAATTTCTCTCCCTGTTTATTTTCTCTCAGAGTCTGATTTACATTTATGGTACACCACTGTGAGAGTGGAATTTAGATGGATTTTAAGTGTTTTCCATTGCCAAGGGCAGAGGTGCCTTGCTTCAAGGAAGGCTGGAGCCTGACCTCTGTGCCCTTAAAAGAGAGAAGTGTGCTGTTTCGTCCTGTGAGTAAATGCATCACTGCTAGATGCCTGCATGATATTTTCTTTAATTTACTCACTTCCGTTTCTTTACCTGCCCCATCACTGGCAATGTTCAAGGCCAGGTTGGACGGGGCTTGGAGCAACCTAGTCCAGTGAAAGGTGTCCCTGCCCATGGCAGGGGGTTGGAACTGGGTAAGTTCTAATGTCCCTTCCAGCCCAAACCATTCTGTGATTCATTCTATGATACCTTGCATTAGTTACTATATGATAACTAATCTAGGTGACTGTTTTTTATCTTCAAAACGCAAAGACTTAGCTCAAGTTGTACAATCTATGGAACAGGATTTTTGGATAACTAATGGTTTATTTTGATTGGGAGCTCGGACTAAGTTTGGGGACTTCTGCTTTAGATATAAAATATCTGGGATGGGAACTGTCTTCTCCATCTCCATGAGTCCTCACGCATCTTGGGCTGTGGCACAATGTAAATGAGAATGGAAAATCAGCTTGTGTTATTCTGAAGATCACTTTTTATATAGTAGACTACCTGTCAGTCTTGAAGTTGTCGTAACTGGAGAGTGAAAACCAAACAGGGATGCATAGAGCTGACTTTATTCATTACTTTCTTTATTATTAGTGTAACAGTTGTCTTGCTAATATTAAGCTGTAACACTGCAGGAGATAATATGAAGAGGCAAACCAGAAAACCTGGCATTGTACCTAGCTTGTTGAATAGTCTCAGGTAATGATCCTGATCCATTTCTTAGAGAGATCAGTGGAAATCCTTCATGGACAATGAAGCAGAATAGTCCCTGGTTTACTGGGAAAGCTAGGTACAGAATAAAAAGATAATATAGATATTTTCTTTCATGCTGTTAACATACAAAGAAGAATCATAACTAAGATTTTATGCCTCTTTCCCATTTGCATTGCCCTGGGATTTGCAAGGAAGGTGTTCTCCAAGGCTTGTATGCCACCACAGTAATCAGAGACTTGTGTAGTTCCTAATTGTTTTCCTGGAAAGGATGCTTTCAGTAGCTGTTTGTTTTCCCTGTGTAATTAGGAAAAAGAGTAGCAAAATAAAAATAGGAGTATTTAACAGGTTTAGTAAAGTACATTACTAAAGACTTGATGGGATTTTATTGGATCTTTATTGAGAAAACAGTACAGCTCCAGCACTTCCTTAATTACTGTCTCAGCAAAAGAACTCAGAAACCTGTTCTCTTTCTGTTTGGGGAATTTATAGAGATACATGCCACTAACTCTGGTAGTAATTGCACATCTGAATTCCTGGTTTGTTTATGGAAGATGGAATATAAAGAATTCACAACACTGAATCACTTGTTCTCAGATGTATGTCCCTTGAGCCTTGGTATGAAAAGGCTGAGTTCCCTCACCTCTATTGACTTCACATCCAGTAATAACCATGATTCTTTGCATTTTTAACTGTGAACTGTGTGATCACAGCAATGGACAGACATTGATTAGATGGAGAAAAGTCAGCAAACTTCAGCCCAGTGATTCCCCAGTCTTTGGATCATTACCAGAAGCCTGGAAGCATAAAACATACGGGATTTTAAGCCTCCAGGAACTGAGTGATAAGCAGAAAGCTTGGGGACCATTTTCTTCAGTAAATTCAGTAGCTAAGACAGATAGATCTTGATAACTCACCTGTCCAGAAATCACACCTCCTTTTCTTTCTGCAGTTCACACCTACAAGATCAGTGTGTTCACTGGAGATATCTATGGTGCTGGGACAGATGCTAATGTTTTCCTAAACATGTATGGAGATCTGGGGGATATGGGAGAGAGAAAACTCAGCAAATCTGAAACAAACTTCAACAAGTTTGAAAGAGGACAGGTACAAATGCAACGGGTTAATAACACTTTCCATTTCCCAGTCTTTAACCTAGTAAGCCCATGACTGTCTTTATAGGCTGCATTTTCCTATGACGGATGAAATCATTGATACCACTTACCATATTCATTACCTTTTAAAATTATTTGTATAGATCCTCAGCAGAGTATTACAACCAACAGGCACTTCAGCAAATTGGTAGATGCTTTTGTGAAGTCATTGACAGACAAATTATGATCTTGATCCATATAAACTGGCCTGAATTATTAGCTGTAGGCTTGAGAGCACACAAAACCAGAGGTATCTCATTCCCATAGCCTTTGTGCAACTGATTTGCACGTATAAAATATATATTGTCATTCACCACATAGCATGATAAATTGACGGGATCTAAACTGCAGCTGTGTTTGACAAAATAACTCTGAAAGTGGTACTCTGTGGTCAGCCCATGAGTCATATTTACAGCCTCATGTGGAGATATTTAGATATAATAATGCCAAAGATTGTGATATCTGGATTGCCCATACAAATCTCATTGTGTTAGAAAGGGAAGAATACTTAGATTTAAAAAAACAGGATGTAAAATTCCAGGAATTCAATATTCTAATTAGTTGTAAAAGTGACATTTAATCAGCTCCCCTCATAGCAGAAGCAGGCTTCAAAACACTTCCCTGCAGAACAGTTTTAGCATACATATATGCCTCTACATACTGCTGCAAAGCTTTTAACCAAACACCATCATGTGAAACAGAATTTAAACGCACATCATGCCCTGCAGTCTCCACTTGCTTTTGTCTGGTAGATGATCTGTTGAGAGGTCTTTAACAAAAGCAACTGCTGTTGAACACACTGCAGGAGGACACGTTTACTATACAGGCTGTGGACCTTGGCATTCTGTACAAGATCAAGATTCGTCACGACAACAGCATGTTCAGTCCTGACTGGTTCCTGGATAAAGTAGAGATCCTGGACGAAACCACAGAGGAGTCATTCGTATTCCTGTGTGAGCGCTGGCTCTCTAAAAAGAAAGAGGACAAAAAGATAGAGCGTACGCTTTATGAACAGGTACAGTTACGGCACAGAGCGGTGATCCCAACCCACTGCTACTAAAGAAAATAAGATGATTGAATATCTGATTGAAGTCCAGGACAGATCATTAGTGACTTACAGGTTTTTTTGCTTGTCCAAAATGAACCTGTGATTTTCAGACAAGTGCTGAAAGTATGATCACTCTCAGCCCAGTATTGCTAGCTCTGTAATTTGCAATTTCAACAGAAAAATCAAGGTGTCTAAGTGAGATTCTTCAGATGAAAGCAAAAGTATCTTGCTGATGCACAGTAAAGTATATTTCCCTGTTTCTCTGCTTGCTGTGCTCACAAAGTAGGTTAGTTATGGATCCCATTATTCAAATTTCTTGAGCCAAAATATTGGGTCCCTTGACTTCATCCTCACCAAACTAGACAGGTTTATCTTTTCAGCTCCTTCTTCCATCACTGCCAAATGTAAAAAGTCTGGTCTGTTTGCTACCACTCAAAGCACCAAATGTTCCTTATTGAAATGCCCTTTTTACTTGCATATTCTCTACTGCTTTATCAGGCTAATGTAGGTAATTGTAATTCGAGGTACGTGCATGAATTAAAACAGGCAAACAAGATTAATAGACCTCTCTTGCTTCTATACAGTGAGATATAATAACGCAGCTGATTGCAAGTCCATTGTGTTTAAGGAGTCCATTTTACAAAATACAGCGACATATTAATTGACAGTTACCACTAAAATTATCATCAATGAGATTGAGCCAGACTCGTTCTGAATACAACAGAATAGATATGAGAAGAGTTACACCATGGATGAGTATTGCCATATGCTCCCTCATAAAACTGAGGCAGACAATGCTATGCATGCTTGTGGTCACACTCACCCTATTGCCAATATTAATTCATAATGAGGAAAAGATAATAACTCTTTTTTTAAAACTTTAATTGCATGACTGTGTGGTAAGAGCCACATTTGTTAGATAATGGCATTAAGCTCATCTGCAGTGACTCTTCAAATACAATAGACATTTTTTATCATTCAGCTTTGCAGTACTTTCCCTCTCATGCTCTTTGAACTGTACCATATACTTTCCTCTGACACCTTGGTGTGTGCCCTGATAAGCAAATCTGGCAGTGCTCCATTTTCCTATGAATTTTCCTGAATTTTCTATGGTTATTGCTCACGCAGGTAGCACAGGAAAAGTCACAACACACCATTAAAGTCTATTAGGCCCATTATATTTTCTTATATTGTAACACACATCCGAAATGACCTGTCAAGGTTACCAACAAAGTGAATGAATTACCTACAGTAAATTACAAGTCACATTTATTTGAGCTGCACTGAGCAAAAGGCTAGCTGGGTAGCTATAGGGATTTCTTCATACGTTGTTCTTGGTGGCACATGGGAACAGCTGACAATGCTTGAACACTCAACCTCATTATCCTCCACTATATGCCTTGCAACTAGAACTATGATGGTGAGCGGAACAGCCTGGATGGCTTATCTCTCAGTGCGTCAAGTCAGGATAGCAGTGGAAACCCGAAGGAGACGAAAAAATCCAGCTTGGTCAAGGCGGCAGAGGAAGGATCATGTGAGCAAGCACTGTGTTTGATTGCATGTGTGCATGTGTTCTTGGCTTTCAGTGCTTGAAAGTGTGTTCAACCTGGTGAAGAGCAAGGAGCGGCAGAGAAGCAGGTTGCTTCTCTTAAGCTTCTGTTGTGACTACTTTGTAAAAGCTCCATCAGTCCTTGTGTTTCTGTGATGCTTTTGTACAGCTCTCCAACCCTAAATGTGAAATAAGCCATGAAGTTCACAGCAACTCCAGTGTTTCCAACCCTCTTATACATCCCCTGTAGAAATCTGTGATGGTGCAGCTTGTCAGAATTAACTTCTCTATTGCCAGAAGATGTAAGCTCTCCAAACAGTGTGATGCTTTGTACAGTGTGACAGTAGGATTACGTAGATGGTTATTCAAGGGTACGCTGTTTTCTGTGACAGTGAGGCAAAATGCACAAGGGAACTCTATGGGCAACTGCAATAGCAAATCATGTCCCTTAGATGCCTAAAGTTAGATGAGACCATCCACACCACCTAGTGTGGAGAACCAGCTAGTCAACAGCATCCATAGGACCTCTTCAGAAAGAAACCCCTGACTTGAAGTACTATACACTCTCTTGCTGCTCTTCCACCATAATTTCATTAAGGATAGCAATTCAGAGGTAGGTAGAAATGACACTAGCCTCTGATCATTGGGTTCTCATAGAGTAAAGGGAAGAATTTATGCAAATTTTGTATAATTTTGTCCAAAGTGACCTTTAAAGGATCCAAAGCTCTTTGCAGTGAGAGGGACAGTAACTAAATCACATATGCTATCACCAAAAAAGCCTCCCTTGAACTATCAGAGGCTCTTTTCCACATGATTGCTTAAAGTAGCTGTTGTTGCTGATATCGGCCTTTTTTCTCCTCCTGTATATCTTTGACTTTCTCAAGATAATATTTCACATAGCATATCAGATCTAAATTACCAAAGATGGCTTTGAATTTCTTGTTTGCCACATTTAAGCCATTTCCCCTTTTTTCATGATCGGTCTAGTTATGCCCCCTCCACAAGGATCTTTGTTTAACATTAAGTGAAAAAACCCTTCAGGTTTTTTTCTTACAACACAGCTGCATCAGAGCAGCTGTTGTGAGGTATGGAAGGTGAGCAAGAACACAAATAAGTCTCTTGGCTCTCAGAAAACAGGCTTCAACTGAGAGTGCTCAGGTGAGCCTGTTCTTTTCTAGGAGTGGTCTGGGTTATACCTTAGTAGAGGAGAATGTTCTGCAAGTGCTGTCATTGAAAGATAGGGAGTTTATGAATTCTGGACTGAGTTTTTCTGCTCAAATAACTGATGGAAACTGTGGCTTTAGTGTAGAGTTGCATCTTTAGGCTCTGGTTCCTGAGATAAGGCAAAGCTGACTATACGGATTGCATCTTGTAACAAGTGAAATATGCCAGACTGTGTCTGCAGAGGCCAGCTTATATGCAGGGAGGCTAGTCCTGCTCTGGTGCTGCAGTAGGAAGCAGGAAAGCTGTGCATGTTTTGTTCTGTCCTGGCTGCGAAGGAAGCTTGGAAGATTGGTGTCCGTCAGCTGAAGTTAAGCTTGGTGGAAAACTTTTCTAGTCTATTGGTATTTCCTTATAACTTCATTATCACATAGGCTTTTTTTCTCTGTATTTTTATACCTTTTTATTAACTACCTGTGTGTTCCAGGACAATGATTTATTATCTAAATTACACCTATAGTTTGTTGTCATTCTCCGTGGGGTCTTTTGGGTGTATGACTAAGTTGTTTTTTTGTAAGAAGTAACTGGGCAACAGGTGAGTCACGCTTACTCTTAGTCCACTGCAAGTGCCAAGTAATGAAACTTATCTTAAACTTCCATGGTAAGGCAAGTGTAAAATGATGTAATTTGGCTTAGGAGTTTAAGATAGATTTCACTGACATGGTCCAAGGGAATTCACACAAATGGTTACTGCAGCTCAGCTGATAACCCAGTAGCTTGTTGTGATGTGATATCTGAGTGGCATGTCTCGTGCCTTTAAGTTGTGAGGCAGACATAATGCTGCATGTTGCTTATCCTGGTCTGCAACCCATGTGTCTTGGATCAACCCTTCTTTTGTAATCCCATATTGTGCTCAAGTGGAAAATAAGATTCCCATGTTCCTTCTGATATTAGTTCTGTGGTGAGACAATGGATAACATCTGCCATGTTAGCATTCCATGTAGTTTCACAAATAATGGGTAAAACATGAACATCTCACAGGAGAATCCCTCTCCATCAGAGCTAGGATAGCACCCATCATCTCCATTGTGCAGGGTGGTCTTTCTCTTCAGAGTCCTGGAGTTTGTCATCAACACTATCTCTGTTGCAGTGACATGACCTCATTAAGGAAGCTGCGTCCTGAAGGAATGTCAGATAAGATGGACTGTGTGAGCCAGACAGCCGCCTCCTGAACTGGATAAAAAGCCAGCTGTTACTTAGTTGATTAGGGGAAGTGGTATTTAGCTGCCTGGGAAGTGGAGTGAGAGTTCAAGCAGCCCAGTTCTGACTCTCCCATGCTCAAGATGGTGAATAACTTTGAGGGGCAGGAGGTGATGTGGAGATGAAGAGCAGCGAAAGGCCCTGTTGGCTAGGAGCCTGCTGGAGACAATGTGGTCTGTATCCCTAGTGAAACCCAACCCTCTGTGAAGGGGATGTGTGTCCTCAAACAGCAGGAACCCTGCACAGGGGCTCAAGGAAACAGGGCAAAGGAAGATGGGCTGTGGGTCCTGTGGTGTCCTGCTGTGGCCACATGCCTCACCTTCTCCTGTGTTTGAAGTAGAACTATGAGTCCCAGACAAAAAGGGAAACAGGGGAGAGGGGAGATAAATTGAAGGATTACTCTTCCAGTTTCTTGAGGAAAGAACAGCAATCAGTGTTTCCTGCTGTTTCCTGAAACAATGTTGCCTGAACTTACTGTCTCTCTCTGTATCCATTATTTCAAGTGGAAAATGGTAATTTCTCATACTTCTCATTTTTTCTACCAATATTTCACGTACTTTGGCTTGAGGATGCAACATCAATTGAAAATACTGGTAGTTCTGTGAACTTATTCTGCCACAGAAGAACAGGATAAAAACTTTATAAAAAGGAAGTTCTGTCCCTCTTCAAAATATACTTCATTTAAAAAAGGGGTCTGGGGCTGATCTAAACATGATCCTTTGATATATTCTTACAAAATTTGTCTTGCCTAAAGCTAAGCTCTTTCTCCTCCTAATGCTGTCAGCTCCAATGACTACTTTGTGAAGAATGCATTGCATATCATTATGCTGATGCGCACACTGAAATGTAAATGATACTATAATGGGGAGAATAAGTCTTGCCTAATTATCAGTTTATTTTGTGTTGGTACACAAAATCCTCAGACTGGGGCTGAATTAATCTCTCTGGGTTCTGCTCTGCCCAGAGGTAAGAACAGATTTGATCAGCATGAATTCGTGCCTTCCCTGGTATTGCACACATATTCTGAGCTTGACGTGAGTTTCTAGTACAACCCCCACCCTGAGAGTGTTGTTAGTCACCATAAAGCAAAACTAGATACCAATCCCAGGTGATCTGAAAGCCAACTGAGCCTTTTTAAATAAAAAAAGTGATGATGAAGCCAAGCTGAATTTCAAGTCTGTGACAAGCAAGTTTCAAAGCTCTGAGTCTTGTCAGAACAGTTTGAACAGCCCTGCACAAATGTTCTGAGTATTTAACATCTAATTCTGCACTGCCTGCTTGGCTTACCCAAATGAGCCTTTGGAAAGGATTTGAAAAGCAGTCTGGCACTTCCTCCCTTTCAGCAGCTGAACTGAAATGCCTGAATACTACAGAACAACCTTCTAAGTCCCAAGCCTTGGCCTGAAGGTTTTTACCCTGAGCAATATTATTACTCAATGTATAAAATTATTGAGTGGCCTACTGTTAATACAAGGATTGTTCATAGTTTGCCTGGATTTGCAAAGGGATGCTGAAACCCTGAGGTGCCCCATAGATCGTGGCAATCCTTGAATGAAGCACAAAGGAGAACATTTTCAGTTGTACTGGGACACTCACTCAGTTATGGTTTACCTTGAAGTCAGCATAGATTTATTTGCCTTTATTGAACAGTGAATATAAGATCACTTTGGTCTAATAGCTGGTTTAAGATTTAGTTGCTCAGTCTCATCCTCAGGAAGGTCTCTTGGTGTAAATAAAGATTCAAGCCCTTTGCTGTTCTGTCAACTATTAGTGAGAAATCTGGACTCAACAGCCACCTTGCAGCCAGTAGGGTTATCTGGGGAAATTAACCCTTGCAGAATTCAGTCCCAAGTGTGTATGGTAAAGCAGTCTCCTGTGCATACTTATAGCTCAGTGCTGCATGGTGTTATCCCTTCTACGAATGAGCTCAATGGGATGTGAACCTATTTAATATGCATGACTGCTCCCCCTGATGGTATGAGTCCCTCGTTTTCTGAAGTCTCATGTAAATGCATATGTGTGGGGGTTCTGATGACTAAACCTCTGTTTGTTGCAGTGATCCCATACCACGTCACTGTCACGACGGGCACTGTGTATGATTCCAGCACCGACAGCAGAGTGTACATCATCATCATGGGTCCTCAGAAAGTGCAGACTGAGAGGCTGTGGCTGGATCTTCCAGAAGGAAAAGACGAGTTTGCAGATGGCTCCGTAGAGAAATTCTCTGTTTGGGGCCTAGATGTTGGGGAGATCAAAAAAGTGGAGGTACTTTGTGAAGGCAGCATGAGTACTGGAGGCAAACACATGGCCAAAGAAAGCACATGTTGCTGTTATTCTTAGCAGCGAAGGGAAGGCACTTGGGTCAAAAAGGACTGTAAACGGGGATGTGCTAATGAGATTTCACATGTGTCTGAACTTGAAAATAAGTATGCTTTATATCTCACAAAAACCAAGATCCTTGAGATGCAGAACATAATCTTGAATGAGAAGGAATTTGTAGTATGTCCCAGATTTGTCCCAGCTCTGGCACTGTATTTAGTCAAGCATTGTTATTGACAGATGCAGTGAAGGTTCCAAGGGTGCAGTCCTCCATCAGTCTTTTTCCTAGTTGATTTTTACTCTCCTTCCAGTTGGGTTTCATAAATTGTGCCTGCAGTGAGAAACACATCTTGTATAATTTTCTAGCTAAACATCAAAATTGTTTTCACATCTTGGAGGACCCAGGCTCAGAGAAGAAAATTAATCATTGCTCGTAAGTAACGTACACAAATAGATTTCGGTACAGGAGCCATTTTTAATGCTATGGCTCAGGGAGACAGAATTTGCATAGGCTTTCCATCACTGAGCTTAAACTTCACATGAATCTTCCAGAGCATTTGCGCACAACATTCTTGTTTCATATGGCAGTTCCATCTCTTTGAAAGCCTGCTCCAGTCCCTTGCCTGCTGAAACCCACAGCATCTTAGAATTTCAAGAGCCAATTTAATTTTTTTTTACCCCATGCTTTGTGTTGCAGTACACCTACGTGCTGATGCTTGTGCTTGTGTATTCAGAGGAAGATAAATGAAAAAATATAGAGAAATCCTAAGTAATTAAAAAATCTTTGGAGTTGTATGTCCTGTTGTAGCAGCTGATATACTGAAGCACCCCTATTAGCTTTCATTCAAGCAATAGATTCTGAGAAGTCTCCTTGAGAGTTTTCCATATTTTATCATCAAGCTATTTCCTTAATGCATTCCAAGCATCTAGTTATTATGAGTATTAGTGGCATTTTCTATCTGGTTTATCTCTAGGTGAAACTTTGAAAGTGAAGCAAGTGCACAAATCCTTCTGTGTGGACATGGAAAAAAACATGGGCTGGGACAGAGAGGGAGGAAAAAGCCAGTATAACCCCTCAATGTCAGAGAGACAAAAAGAACAGGCTGAAGAAAGCAATAGAAAGGGATGCATGAAAAGAGCTTGTGAGTAGGGCAGGGAAGGGTAGAGAAAAGGAGAAAGTAAGAGCAGACACTTGAAAATAGGCAAATCCAGAGGATTACAAATGGGAAAGAAGATAAAAAGTTGTAAATTAAATGCAGAGTTAGGAAAAGAAAGAATGTGTAGCTTTCAAGCTGGTGATGGTCTTCTGCAGTCTTTCAGCCCTATCCTCAGTAATCTCACCAGTCTGCTGCCTCCCTCTTGCTCATTTTTCCTTTAAGTTTGTAACCTCCCCCCGTGTTGTAGCTGAAGGAGCCATCTGCTCCTGGCCTTCTGCTTTCCTTCATGCAGTGCCCTGTTCTTGGAAGGTCCCTTGCTGTTGATCCATGTCCCAGCGATGACATCGATGTGCCAGTCTGCTGTGGTTGCCATGGAATCAGTCCATACTCTTCTTGTACAAAATTGCAGTGTTCAGGGACATTGCAGAAAACTGGTAGTTATCTACTTGGGAAAAGTGAGGAACAGTTTGTTCTCAGATTTGGAATTTGGCTGCTTCTGGAAGAAGTCAAGAATTTCTGAATACAACTTACCATGTGAAAATAAGAGATCATGGAGATTAAGTTTTCAGAAGCCCTCTGTATAACCCAGGTAGCAGACTGCAGGATTAGTAGGATTGTAAGATTTGCAGCATGATGCCACTTATTCTTTGGTATTATTTTCCTGCTGCAAATATACTTTGGTGAAAGCAGAAACAGTGGAACGAAGTAATGTGAAAGGGGCTCATTTATACCTGATGTGTGAGCCTAAAGATATAATATTTACTACTGGGGTACTTTAACAGACACACTAACATGAAAATAACTAATACATATTATTCAGTACACTTTATACTGTGCTCTTAAGACAAATTTTAATACTTTTTCTTCTAAAGAATAAAAGTATTTCTGTTCATAGCCTGCTGTTGCTGAAAAAACTCGGTATGTTGGGAAGAGTCTTTCACTGTTCTCCATTTCTAAACCATTTCTGGACTTTTGGTTCAGAGTCTTTCTTAATCACAAGCACAGAGTAAAGCCAAGGACATACAAATGTTTCAAGTCCAGTCCACTGACTAAGGGCCTGATCCTGGAAGACCTAAATGTCACTCTGGTATTCTCTGCACCTTGCACATTAAAAATCCTTGGTTTTTTATTCTTTTTTCTTTTATCTTTTTTCTTTTATCTTTTCCTTCTCTCTCAGGTTAGAGAATACTCAGATTGTCTCCCATTTCCCCCTGTTGTTGCACTTGGTTTCTTCATGTCTGTGAGCTGCTCGGTGTGAATTCGCATCTTCATCTTGGTGATGAGAGATATCCAACAGCCCTTCAAGGACAGTAGGAGTGAGTTACAAAGGTTTTCAAACAGCCTTTGAAATTCTGTAATTCTGGCTTTAGCTCAAACATCACAGCCTCAAACAACTTGTGATACTGGTACACACGTCCAGGCTACACTGCTGTTGTGGCCATGGCTTTGGATCACTCAGTGTATGTTGTGTCTACAGAATTACTTGGAATTGAAAAACAAATGCCAGTGTTCTGCTCTCAAAGTCCAGCCATAAGGAAGACTCAACACTGGATGAATTTATACCAGACTTTACAACACTGTTCTTGAGGCCCTTAGAAATCTGCTTGTGTGCAGGTTTTTCAAGGCAGCTGGATGTGCAGAATGCTTTCATCTATCCAGTCATTGATACCAAAGGAGTTAAAGGTTGCTGTGAAAATCTGGTACCTAGCAATGTCTTGGAATGATGCTTTAGGAGGGGGTTGTAATGAACCCAAAAGAGCAGCAGATTTTAATAAGCTCATTGGGATTTTCCCACCAGCTGCTTTGTCCCTGCTTCACTGCAGAGCCATTGCCCTCAGCTTTTCCTATCGCCTTGTCTGTGCCATCCTGCAACAGGTCTCAAGAGTCTGTGTGCAGACTCTCAGAAGGAGTGTGGTTTTGGAAGAGGACAGCTAAGCTGTCAGAGAGGCAGTGGGCAAGTGTTCTATTCCCATTCACCTCACACCCAAGAATCTGAGAATTAATGCATCCATTGTAGACCTGTATTTCCCTAGTGGTTAACTCTAATTTTCTGCAGCTGCACAGACATTAGTATAGTAATAATACTCCTAACAACAGTGATGACTGAGACAGTCAGATAAAAAAGATCATTTGTTTTTTGAGGAAAAGAGAGACAACATGGATACATTACCCTAAATGGATCTGTTATTAAGAATTATTTTGCAAGCAATCCTAAATATCATAATAATTTCAAAACAAAACCAGCAAGAGCTAAGGGCCTCATTTTCCTAGAAATGATACAAACAACACCTGCTTTGAAAATAATGAAGTGCAGGTACCTCTTTTATTCTACCTTTTATGTACAGATAGCTCACTGGAATGACTGGCTGAGAGAGTTTCAGACATCAACTGGAATACAGAATTACGCTTGTAAGTCTGCCCCAGGATGAATTTGTCACATTTTTTAAGAGGACACATGCAGTTCCTTGGAGAGTTTAGACCATCATCCTCCTTTTAGAATCATAGAATAGTTAGGGTTGGAAAGGACCTTAAGATCATCAAGTTCCAACCCCCCTGCCATGGGCAGGGACACCTCGCTCTAAACCATATCACCCAAGGCCTCGTCCAACCTGGCCTTGAACACTGCCAGGGATGGAGCATTCACAACCTCCTTGGGCAACCTATTCCACTGCCTCACCACCCTAACAGGAAAGAATTTCCTCCTTATATCCAATCTAAACTTCCCCTGTTTAAGTTTTAACCCATTACCCTTGTCCTTTGTTAATGATATACCTGTAGAAACATGACTTATCGCTCATTATGGTCCTTGCCGGAATCAGGTTCAAAGGTGGGCTTGGACTTTTTTAAACTCACCCCTGCACACTTGAGCAGTGTCTCTGTATTTCTCCAGGTTCACTGACCCTGCTGCCATCTCTAATATTCTTCCTTTTTCCATGTAAGTTTTGTCAGGAGCCCCTTGTTCATCCATGAAGGCTTCCTTCCACTCTTGTATGACTTCCTGCTCTCCAGGATGGACCATTATTTAGCTTGGAGGAGGTGGTCCTTGGTAGTAGAAGATCAATCAGCTACAGATGTAAGCTCCATCTGTTGGCTCCCACACAAACATGGAGATTTGCAGTTAAAGTAGATGGGAAGCAGAGAAACAGCCTGATACATATAGTTGACTTAGACTTCCTTAGAGGGAAGGAGTGTTTGAATAACATATGTGGGTGTTTGCCTAGCTGTGTCTTTCATCTTGACTGTGAAGCTTTGCATAGTCACTTCTAAGTGTTGTAACAGCAGTGGAAGGGTTTAGAAAGATGGAGAAATGGGTCTTCAGAGATCAGCAAATTAGCAGATAGAGGTCAGTGAAGAAGAAACAGAGCAGTATTAGACTGGAAATGTTTCCATGTAGGTCAGTCCAGTCTGCCTTCCTTAATTATGGGACTGGCAGTGTCCTGCCTTCCCTCATGCTGAACACCCCTTCACCTGGGCTTCCTTGCCCACATCAGCTGCCATGTCCACTGATGTCTTGCCTGCGGGGCACCAATGGCACGCACTATTTTACAGCTTCCTCCATTCCACTCTGGAAGTGGTTTTTGTGATGGTGTATGTAGTCAACACTCTTAGTCCTTCATCTCTGGTTGAAACACCCAGTTGAGGTATTTCCTCCCAAGAAATCCCCTTTAACAAGCAGATGTTTTCTCACTGACTCTCTTAGGTGGGGCATGATGGCGCTACCCCCGAGAGCTGCTGGCTGGTGGATGAGCTCAACATTGTTGTGCCCACCAAAGGTGTCATGTATAACTTTGTCTGTAAGTGCTGGCTGGCCAGAGACAAAGGCGATGGGCTCACCTCGAGAATCCTCAACATCCTTGATGCGGACTGCGTTAACATAGGCGTCAAGGTAGGCTCTTGTCTCATCTTTAGCTGTTGCATGAACCAGTGCTGATGAAGGTTGTAATATATGCATGTGGTTTGAGTCTTTTATTTACAGAGGGTTTGTTTGTAATTCCTTCAGCAAAATCTTTAGGAGTGGTTTAGCAGCATTACCTCTTAAAGCACTGATTAATAACAATGGATCTAACCATATCATAGGCAGAATGACAGGGTAGGGCAGAAGAAGTAGGACACAGTTCAGCAGCTTGTCCTCATTTTGTCACCTCACACCTATGGAGTAGGAACACCTACAAGGTAAACACCTTATAGAATCATAGAATCATAGAATAGTTGGGGTTGGAAAGGACCTTAAGATCATCAAGTTCCAACCCCCCTGCCATGGGCAGGGACACCTCGCTCTAAACCGTATCACCCAAGGCCTCGTCCAACCTGGCCTTGAACACTGCCAGAGATGGAGCATTCACAACCTCCCTGGGCAACCTATTCCAGTGCCTCACCACCTTAACAGGAAACAATTTCCTCCTTATATCCAATCTAAACTTCCCTTGCTTAAGTTTTAACCCATTGCCCCTTGTCCTATCACTACAGTCCCTAATGAAGAGTCCCTCCCCAGCATCCCTATAGGCCCCCTTCAGATACTATGAGGTCTCCAAGCAGCCTTCTCTTCTCCAGGCTGAACAGTCCCAACTTCCTCAGCCTATATTCATATGGGAGGTGCTCCAGTCTCCTGATCATCCTTGTGGCCTCCTCTGGACTTGTTCCAACAGATACATGTCCTTTTTATGTTGAGGACACCAGAACTGTACACAATACTCCAAGTGAGGTCTCACGAGAGCAGAGTAGAGGGGCAGGATCACCTCCTTTGATCTGCTGGTCACGCTCCTTTTGATGCAGCCCAGGATATGGTTGGTGCCATCTAATTCCATCTCAACCCTTTTGTTTGAAACTCAAAACATTTTATTTGAGGAGATACTTCCAACTCATCAGGTTAGAGGACTGATGTTTTAATCTCTGCACAGTGTGGCTACATAGAATCGTAGAAGGGTTTGGGTTGGAAAGGAGCTTAAGATAATCTAGTTCTGAGCCACCTGTCATAGGCAGGGGTGTTTCACATTAGACCATGTCACCCAAGGCTCTATCCAACCTGGCTTTGAACACTACAAGAGACAGGGAAACTGAATTCAGTTAAAATCTAGTAATAATTGGAAATTGTTGAAACATAAAAATATTTGTTATCTTTATGCTTGAAATGAATAATTAATTAAAAATGAATAAGCAAGGGAGAAAAACCCAAACCCTACATAGTCTTTTCATCCGTAGATATGAAATCTGAAGTAATGTATGCCAAGCCATATTTCAACCATATGCAAATAGGAAAGCTGAGCTACGCTGATTTTGGATGTAAGATTTATAACTGAATTAACAGTCTAAATGAATGGGATAATAATACTGTGTTTGACACCTGTATGGCAATTTAAAACCTGTATAGCTGTGTTTCTATATGCAGTAAGGTTACACTTTCATTATTTTTCTTTACAGTGCTCTTGATTCCTAAGCTAGAGATATTCTCCTAAAATCTGTCTTGTTGCCCAGACACACAAAAATGTGATAGCATTTTTAGCATCTCTGAAGGATTCAATAACTCAGTGCAGGCTTCAGTGTTGGAATTGACCTAAGAGTTAAAAAAAATCCCTCCCTCACACTCAATACCAAGGTTAAAACCTAACCTTTTAAAAACTTTCCATCAGTTGTTTAACCTCCTAAGTTTTCCAAACTCCTATTGGTGAGCTGATGACTTTTGTGTAGATTGAAGTGGATGTTAGTGAAGACTTATCTTCAATCTTCCTTTGAAAGCTTGATCCTGAATATTTATTTTCATAAGCATGCCAAAAGTAGACACATCTCCCTAAATTTTTTTCTATGATGTTGGGCCAGAAACTTGAAAGGTTTGAAGGAAATCAGGGAAGATGCTTGGGATATGAAATCAGAAGTGTGCATTTGACTTTCTGATCAGTCTCTTGGTTGAGGGAATTTGGGACTCTTCCCTCATAAATAGTTGTAGTTAGAAACTGAGTTAGATTATTCTTTTTATTATTATTCAAAGACCAATACATTCAACATCTTTGGGAAAGTTAATGCTTTTTTGTTTTGCTTTTGCTTGACCCTTGCACAGCTATACATACCCATTTGAATTTAATTTTCTTCTTGGCTAAATATTCCCTCTTTGTGCTTTAAATTGAATATTTGCCTCCCCAGACATAAAGAAACTAGTCAGTGTCCACCACAGTCATTAAAAATCCTTAATGCATTGGTAAAAGAGTTTTTCTTCTCCTACATATATCAATTATGATGTTTTGCTATTAATTAAAATATGCAGGAGGATGAATATACAATGAATAGGTTACTCAGGATTGAAAAAATCATGAAAAATAATTTTTCTATGACATTATTCAATTGCACTGTTGGCAATCACAGTTCAGGCCAACAAAGCTTGCACTATTTAAGATGTTTTCTTGGGGCAGTTTCTTAATGTTCTTCCACCTCTTAAATCCAGAGGCCTTGTTACTATAGGTACAATCTTGAAATCATATAAGTGGCCTAACACTCATAATGCCACTGACAGCCACCGGGACTTGCACACTGCTGAAATACTTTATTCTGAATATTATTATTCACATGTCAGGAGAAAAGAACAAAGTTAAGGTAATAAGGTGAAAATGATGTAAAACATCTTTCACAGACTGGTGTACTGTAAGTGTACAAAATTTGGGAACACTCTGTGTTCAAGGCTGCAGTGTGCATCTCACTGGGAAACAATGATTTTATTTTTTTTTTGCTTTAGACTGTGTTCAGATGTACAGACTTCAAACCTATTAATGATGCTGGACTAAATGTTGTCCACGTGGACCCAAACACTGGGAGGAAATATTTTGCAGTCAGGAGAAATAAACAATTGTACCTTTGGGTGCTTTTTTCAAAAATGGCAAGAGTTTGGTTCAGTGCAGAGGTCTGGAGTGCTGGGAGGTAGCTGGGAGAAGATGCCAGCAACAGATCCACCCATTGATGTGAGGGTTGTGACTCCCATGGAGAATCAGTTTACCAGATCTTCGTTGTTCCATGAGAGTGTTGTTAATAAAATAATGTGTCTCTTTCTGAGTCTATCCAGGCTGAGAAAAATCTGCAGAGAAAGTCATAGACAATGCAAAGAGAAAGATCCTGTAGCAAATTCAGTCTCTAACTTTGCCCCTGAGAGCCATGGTATGGAGAGAAGCCAAGGAGTTTTGTTGTAACCATTTCTGGCAATGAAGAAGATCTCCTGCAAAGCCTGTCTAGCCTTTTGCCCAGGCTTTTGTGTGGTTTAAGGACAGCTGCTCGAATGAGACCTGATTGTTTCAAATCCTCACCAGGTCCTCTACGAAGTCACGATTGTGACTGGAGACATTGAAGGTGGTGGTACTGATGCCAGCATTTTCATGACTGTCTTTGGATCCAATGGGAATACCGAAGAGATGCCACTAGAGAAAAATGGAGACAGGTACAGTAATTCTTAATTTTTGTTGGTTAGAAGTGGAGTGATAACAGATTCAGTGTCAAGTCAAGGAGCACTTGGGGTTTTGATGGTGCTCCCACTGAAATACAAACATAAACTCCCATTGACTTTGTAGATTCAGAACTGAGCCCCTTGCAGATGATCTTGTAATGTAGTTTTCAGAGCAGAGGAAACCAGGTAGGCAGGGAAGCCATCCTTTGTCTTCTGTAGAAGTGTTGTTTAATCTGTTCCTCACTGGCTTTAGAGATGAGCACTGTGGTGAATGAAAACATGAATTGTGAAGCTCTGCATTGGCTCCAAGAGGAACTATGGACATTGCATAAAACCACAGTTGCAATTTCTGCAATGTGGACATGCAGTGACATCTGCCCAGATGTGGCCTTGCAGTGCAGAGACATGGAAATGAGCTGTAAGCTGCCCAGAGCACTGCACTATGTGCTCTGATTTTAGTGAAATGGTGAAATCTCACGTTTTCTTCAGCAGAAACAGCTAACAAACACTGTAACCCTGGTCTGATGCCAGCACTTCTGTAAGCCAAAATATGCCACTGCAACAAATCCATTTCCTGATGCTTTCCTGTGCCTTCCTAGCACTTCTCTTGGTACAGAAAGTTTTGGCACGCTCAAGAATCAACATGGCACTAACAACCTTTTAAAGACAGGGTTCATCAGGCTTAGATTTAATTAACTGGCTACTTCTGATCTTGTTCAACAAAGCAGCAGTGTCAGGAGGGCTGGAGTATTTGGCCACAGGGTTTGAGCTTGGCTTGCTGAGGTGATGTTGGACTCTTCACCAGCTTCCTGGCAATGCAGCTTCACCTATCACATGTGGGCTGAGTAATTGAAGATAAGGCTTCCTGCACAGAGCTGTTTGCTCAGAGCATGTTTTACTTGCACCTGTCATAGTAGAAAGCCATAGGTCTTGGCTCTGCTTCCCATGACAGAGAGACATCCAACATGAGGGACAATGAACCTGGGTTACCAATGTGTCTGGCTGTTGGTGACATCCCCCTTTCAACATCCCAGGCAACACCGAACTCCTCTTTTTTCCACTATTTTAAGCCTAACATTCAATTCTAATAGGAGGGAAAACGGACCACAGTTGTTTGTACTCAAAGCAGATTTCACATCAGGGTAGGGCAACCAAAAATTATAAAAGAGACTAAGGCATCTCCATAAAGAGGGATTGCAGTTTTGATCTACGTTGTTAGGCAATTGATATCCCTAAGTTATGTGGCCTATCAAACCCTTCCATATTTGTCCTTATGTGTGGGATGGATAATCTCTGATATAAGGATGTGAAAATGCAATAAAGGACAGCCATGCAGTTCGTATGTTATGAATTGCTTGCATTGTCTTCTGCCAGCGGAAGTTCTGCAAAAGAGAACTCACTGGGTCTGTGTGAAGGAGGATATGTAAAACACAGCTGTTGACTATCTTAATATCCCAGGATGCTGTGTTATTTTTTGAGGCTGTACTGGCACATCTCTGCTGACCAGAGATGATCTGTATCATACCTCTAGCTATACATTAGTACTCTGTGCAAAGGACATCCATGTCCCAAGATACACATACTGCCTGTTTCCACACTTCTCCCACCAGTCTTCATCCAGCTGTTAACAGCACAGGCTTCCCTTGGATTCATTTTGTGTGGAAATTCTCCAGCCTTTGTGCCAGCAATAAAGGATGGGTGAGAGCCACTGCAACCAAATGGTAAAAGTTTATTTTTATCTTTATCTTTACTAGGGCTATTCAGTGCCAATTCACTCACAGCAACTTAGTGCATTACGAAGAACTGCCTGTCTAACCTGCTGCAGATTTAAGGCAATTTTAGCTACATTACTGTTACTGCTGAGACCTCTGGGCAATAGACATATTTCTAAGTGCAGGCATGGGTAGAAAAGCTTAATGAAATCCCTCAGGTAAATGCTTCAGTGTCCTGGAAAAGGGATAGCAGTAGTCAGCTTGTCTGGTACTTCCTCCTTTCTCAAATTTTTTCAGGCTTATGTTCATGTTATATAAATTAGGGATAGAAAAGAGCTCTCGGGCCACCCAGTTTGCCACTTTATCAATTTCTTCCCTTTAGTACAATGACTTCTGGGAAGTAGCAGGTGAGTATCAGCCTTTCCAACTGTAAACAGGCCATTTACTGAAGATAAATATTGGTTTATTTTGCTAACTGGCAGCTTAGTTTAGAGTTGCTTATCCTGAAAGAGACCGGAGTAAGAGACTTCTATGAAGCTTTGTAGGTAATAGTGATTGTAATGAAAACTGATCATAAGAGCATGGGATACTTCAGGCTGGAAGGGTCACACCTTTTTCTTAAATAGATGTCAAATCAACCCAGTCCAGGTACAAAAGCACATTCTCTTTCTCACACTAAGAGAGGCTGTCTTGATATCCAGTACCACAGAAAGATAAATAAAGAGAGAGGGGAGTTTTTTAAAGAGCAAACATATAACTCTTAATAAGTGAAAATGGACTGGGACCAAAACACCCCATCCAAGTGCTTCTGGGAGTGCAGGGTGAAATGCCTGTGTGAAAACTAGGAGGATGGAGTCAATCCCTATTGCTAACATCTGCAGCTGTGCAGGCTTAGATAATGGTATGAGGACAATCACATTCATGCTGTGGTGTGTAATGTGAGCAGAGGTTGGTAAATAAATGTTTTTTTCCTCCATATCCTGGCACTGCATAGCTACAGGAGACTGAGTGCATTGCCAGGAACGACGTATCATCATTATAGATTGTCTATGCTATGGTAATGCCCGCAGATTGCAGACCTCTCTTCAAACCTCTTAGTAGGCTCAGGTAACATACTCACAAGGAGAAGTTTGCTTAAAGGAGGAACCTCAAACACAGAGTGGCCATAGTGCGGCTTGGTAGACCCCCAGTATTTTGCTGCCCTCCACATAGCAAGGGTTCTATTTTCATCTCCAAACCCATAGCAGGTCTAGCAAAGTGATTTTGGGGGAAAACCTAGAAGACACTCTTGCTCTGAACAGAGAATATTGAGCCTGAGGCAGCACTTTCACTAGAGCAAGGCTTTCTTGCTAGCAACATTGATGCTAAGAGGGAGGTAAAGTGGCTGCAATCCTAGCCATTGTAATATCCTCTTCAGGAAACATATGTTTTTCCCCTCTTTCTACTTTCTGCTGATTGCTATGGATGAGCAATACCTACACATCCTTGTGCCTATACACAGCAGCCAACCACAGGGTAAGATCTTTCACGCAATGTACACAAGCCCACCCTGGCTCTTAATGAAGATGGAGCTAGTTTGTGAATCCAGATTCCCCAAACTCACGAGGGAAGTGCAGGACAGTCGGTTTTGGCTCCTTTCTAACACAGATTGCTGAGCTTACTAAACTTAGGCACTGAGCTCTGACTTGCAATGTGGTTGCTGTATTTAGCTGAGCTGCAGCAACTGTCTGTCTCCACAGCAAATCCAAAGTTATGTATGTGTTGCATCTTAGCAAAAGAAGATTAAGTAAAGTTGCTTTGCCTTCTAGTTGGGATGGGCTAAGGACACGGGCAGATGCCAGGAGGAAAGCGATGTGCAGAAACCTGACTGTGAGTCTATTGTTCTGGGTACAAATGTAGTGATAATGTCTGCGACAGGCTGCCTGGAATGATTCCAGGTGCCTTGTATGGGCTTGATTTTCCAAGGGAGGAGGAATCCCTGTCAAATCTGCATTGAGACAGTCTTGCCAAATGCACAGTAGCTGATGATTGCAAGACAGGAAAGCTTAAGTGCAATAAAGCGCACTCATAAACTTTTAATTTGAGGCTGTTGGCAAAGTGTGAATTGCAGTATGGACAGCGGATCGAGACGTGACGATGCTGTAAAGCGGCAGGAAACTTCCTTGATCTTTCAATCCCCTCAGGTTTGAGCGAGGCCAAGAAGACAGTTTCATTATGGAGATTGCCGACATCGCACCCCTCAGGAAGATGAGGATCCGGACGGATGGGAAAGGGACCCGCCCGCATTGGTACCTGGAAAGGGTAATGCGCTTCACATCACACGTCGCTTTGCAACTTGCTTGTGTAGAAGCCTTTCAGCCCTTGAGAAAGAGGTGAAAGGCAGCGAGTGACTCACTTTTATTCATTCCCAGCATTTGGTTTCTTACGTTTTTTTTCCTGCACAAATTGAGTCAAAAAAGAAGAGAGCAAGGGCAAAAGCAGTTCTGTGAAGCTTTGCCACAATCTCTGCTGTGAGATCTCACTCTCCCTCCCTGCAAAAGAGCCTTGGTTTGTTACCGGGGCACCTGAAATATTGTGTGGTCCCTGGGATATACCCTTAGCTTCTGCAGCCCCCTGCCATGCTCTGCCCCCATGGGAGAGTGGATGTTCCTCTGCCGGGCAGGGACAGCTAGCATGGGCCTGGGATGGATGGGACATTTCCAAGAAATCCGTCCTCTGAGGTGAATCATCCAACTTCTCCCCTTCCCTTCTCCCTCTAACACACAGGAGGGTTTCTTTCTTTTCTTGTTCGTACAAGTAAGTTGTCATTTTCTGTCTTCATTTTGAGAAAAGCATTCAAAATGACTCCCACCACTTCTGTTGTCTTATTTTTCTCTAGCGTCCTGTCTTGCACAAAAGCACAGTGCTTGCTTTTGTCTTCTTTGCAAAACCACCAGCTCCTTGTAAAGATCACTTGTATTTGAGGATGTCTTGACTTTTATGAGTATAGGTTAAGACTCAATAGCTTAACCCATGTTCAGAAAGACTACTGCATGTTTTTTTCATTGGATTCCTTGTCCTTTTTTGACTAGTCTGAAGCTGTTCTTTTTTTTTTTTTCCGATAAATAGTATGTTTCTAAAAGGTAGCCACAAGTTTCCAGTGAAGTAATGAACTGCTTTTCACCTCCGTTAGCATGGGCTAAAAAACATTCCTGTTATGTAGCACATTTTTCACATGAACATTTCCACTTCAAAGTTTTTTATCAGGAAAAAATTGAGAGAAGAAAGCTAACTTGTACAGCTTTCCAAAGCATTAGACCTCCAGTGTATATTTTCTGAATAGATGCCACAGACACAGTTTTTCTCTCTGTGCCTCAGGAATAACTCAATCTGTTTTCTAATTTGATTCAGTCATCATGGTCAAATTCCCTTCATCAGTCCCCAACACTTTCCCATGAGTTTTATAAATCATATTTCTAGAAAATTAAATCAAATTAAGCTTATTTATCCAGAGACATTCCAGATCTTGCAGTCATGAATTAGCAGTAACTCAAAAGCAAGGGATGGCAGCATCTTTAGTGGCAGGCCAGCTCTGTCCAGTCTTCCAACACCTGAGCCTGATGCATTTTCTCAACCAAAGCAAGGTTTTCCCAAGGAAGGGGGCAAGAAAAAATTCTCATTTGGTCTTGTTGGATGGGCTTATAACTCTCTTATACCTCTATAGAAGTAATGAGCAGGCCAAGCACCAGGATTTTAGGAGATTTTGAAAATTATACCTATGGTTTCTATTTTTCTTCAGGAAACAGAGCATGGAGCATCTTCTAACCTCAGTGATACGTAGGCAACTTTATTCATTAGTTTTCTTTCCTACCTTCCCTGCAAAGGTTAATATAGCATTTATATTCCTAGGCAGAGAGAGAAGACAGAATTGCTCTGGAAGAAAGGAGGAAGGATTTGTGTTCTCCAATTTGTATTCCATCCTTGAAAACTTATGTAGCCTGGTGTGACATGAAAACTGATCTGAGCCCATTTCCATTTCTGTCAAAAGTGCATATTAAAACTGCATAATGAAATACTTGTGGGGGTAGTGCTAAACTCTCAGACAGATGGTTCACAGTTAGTGCTAACTAGCACAGTGAAATGAGAAGCTAGATTAAGCCATCAACCCCATAATTAACCATTTGTTGCTCCATTTATCTACAGGATATTCTCAGTTTTCTTATTCTATGAAAATAACAATAAATGATCTATTTAATTGTCTTTAGTCTTTTTGTAAACTGTTGCTGGTCATTATTTATACTGCTTTTAGTTTACCAGAAATAGAAATGCATAAATACAAATTAAAATGCATGAATAAGTGATACTGTACACAGCCAAAAGATTCAATTTACAAGCAGGGAAGTCATCATAACTTTTTTTCTGTCTATATAAAATACACTGAAATTTCATTCAGAATCTCCTCAAAGTAATGAACATAGTGCCAAAGATTCAAACTGCACCAATAGTGGCAATAAATTTTAAATGCTGATACCTAATCTCTAGAGGGAACAAAATTCGATTAGTGATGCGTTGGGCCAGAAAGAATTTTATTGATTATTGCTATGCACAGACATGACAAAAACTCTCCAAAACCCAGCAACACATTCTGATCTCACCATTGATGGGAGAGAGAGAGTTTAATATTTTCCTCTGACCTAATGATGAATCGCGTGTTCTCCAGCATCAAGCTACTGTGACGTTGGTCTTTGTTCTGAAAAATCAGAGAATAGAATCACAGAGTTATAGAACCACAGACTGGTTTGGGTTAGGAGGGACCTTAAAGCTCATTCAGTTCCGACCCCTGTCCTGGGCAGGGAGACCTTCCACTAGAGCAGGTTGCTCCAAGTCCCCTCCAACCTGGCCTTGAACATTGCCAGGGATGGGGTAGCCACAGCTTCTCCGGGCACCCTGTGCTAGCATCTCACCACCCTCTTAGTAAAAAAACATAGTGACTTCTAGTAATGAACCTTATCTAAATGAATGCTATGGAAAACTCTTCCTGGGATAGCCGGTCCTTCAGTTCACGTGATGATTCCACCTTCTGCCCAGTGTCTTAGATACGCAATTGAAAAGCCAGCAGTAAGAAGGGATGAAAGCTGTCTGAGTGAAATAACAGGAATTGTGAGACTGTTCAGTTCTGCAGGGTTGCTTCTCTTGGAATTTTAATTTGACTTTGTGCTGTCAAAGCCAGGCAGATAAGAAGCTGCCTTAATGAAACACTAATTGCATGGCATTCAAACATCACAAATAATCCTGAATGTTGGACTTGGTCTTTATTCAGTTCTTTTTCCTTTATAATAAAGGAGATCAAGAGAATTTGAGACAATTCATTATATAGCTGAAGCTCACTGTTATTATGTGCAACAGAGCAAAGTCTTTTTGTTTTACAGTCAGATCTTCTTTTTAAGCAAAGACTAATGACATGCAACAGAACCATAAAAACCTGTGCGTGAGTCTTTAAATACAAATTCCAGGACCTATGTATTTTTGGGTTAATGGGGTTGTGCGCCCCTGAGGTGGCAGAAAGCTGGGTAGAGGTAAATCAGATCAGATATATCAAACCTTTCAGGTACAGCATACAGCACAAAATTAATTTCAAGTTGCTGTTTTAAAGTTCCTGTCAGCTATGACATTTGATCAGCTACAAAGCAAATTAACAACGTTTAATTCATATACACAGTTCCTGCTTTCTTTTCATTTTTTATAGGTGTTCTACAGCACAGTTAAAATGCATAATTAGTGATAGAGCTTAAAAGCATGCAGGATGTCTACAGCAAGTTCCAGGTATCCTAAAAAATAGTTTAGATGCAATGGAAAGTAGATGTTTCATTTCCAAATGGTGGCTAATTGTCATGAGGGGAACAGACAGAAAATAAAAAGTTTCAGCTCCTCTCCCTGAGATGATTTACTTGACCATCACGATCAAAATGAAAATCCTCCATCATCCTCTATGTGTGCAAAACTCCCAAACATCTCCTTGTAGGATGACATTAATTTTGTGCAAGTTTAGTAATTGAAAAAGTTACATTCGTCTTTAATCATAGAATCATAGACTGGTTTGAATTGGAAGGGAGCTTAAAGCTCACCCAGTTCCAAACCCTCCCATGGGCACGGACATCCTCCACTAGAGCAGCTTGCTCCAAGCCCTTGTGTCCAACCTGGCCTTGAACACTGCCAGGGATGGGGCAGCCACAGCTTCTCTGGGCACCCTGTGCCAGCGCCTCAGCACCCTCACACGGAAGAGCTTCTGCCTAAGAGTTCATCTCAGTCTCCCCTCGGGCAGGTTCAAGCCATTCCCCTTGTTCTGTCCCTACAGGCCCTTGTCCCAGGCCGCTCTCCAGCTTTCCTGCAGCCCCTTTAGGCACTGGAGCTGCTCTAAGGTCTCCCCTTCAGGAGCCTTCTCTTCTCCAGGCTGCCCCAGCCCAGCTCTCTCAGCCTGGCTCCAGAACAGAGCTGCTCCAGCCCTCGCAGCAGCTCCGTGGCCTCCTCTGGACTCTTTAAAAAGTCCCCTTCTTCTACCAGTTTCCGGAACTCTACCAGAGTTATTTCACCTCCTGCACCAGTTTATTTAGGCCTCTCTATTCAGCAGAAAGATTTGTGAGGGGGAGAGATGCCTTGAATGGCTGTTTACCTACCCCCACCTTGGGTGGGATATACTGTGTTGCTTCATGGGTGATACCCATCTCCAAGCACACACCTTAGGTAGGGCTTGGTCTTGATGCAGTGTTTAAGCAGTTCATTCTAGGTAAGGTAGGCAACATACCCATGCTGTGACTGAGCAATCAGACTGCACGGGCTTCCTGCTACCTTCAGGTCCCTTGCTGTGATCTCCCTTGAGCAAATGATGCTCGTAAAAATGAATCTCTCCTGTCTGCTCCGCACTGGAGCAGCATCCCAGAATGAGATTTCAGAGGCTGCTCGCTCTGCCTGTGCTAACTGCTTACATGAAGCTGCATACTGGTGAAATCACTCATCCTGCTGAGGGGCTAAGCATGGAAAGAGAAGGCATTTTGCTCCAGCAGGTTTAGTAGCCAGACAGTTTTTCCCAGACAGCATCTGGAGCACTGGGCATGGGCTAGTTATTTGTACACTCCAGCTGGCAACTCTAATCTGCTTCTACCTCCCGCTGCTTCCCTGACATTTCCCTGTAAGCTTTACTCAGGACATTCTGCTGCTAATGATGCCACTGTCAATCCTGAGCAGGGCAGAGGTAGGGCTGGCTGAACCTTTCCCAACACGGAGTTTATGCACCAAGAGGTAAAAAAAAAAAGCATTTTTGGTTCAAACTGACCTTGTTCTTTATTGAAATTTGCAAATTTTAGCCAAAGAAAAGTTCCTAGGTTGGTCTACTTAGAGGATGTAGGCATCGTTCACACATCCAAGGGGTAATGGGTTCAAACTTAAACAGGCGAAGCTTGGGTTAGATATAAGGAAGAAGTTCCTCCCTGTGAGGGTGCTGAGGCGCTGGCACAAGATGCCCAGAGAAGCTGTGGCTGCCCCATCCCTGGCAGTGCTCAAGGCCAGGTTGGATGGGGCCTAGAGCATCCTGGTCTAGTGGAAGGTGTCCCTGTCCATGGCAGAGGGGTGCAACTAGATGATCTTAAGGCCCTTCCAACCCTAACTATTCTATGATTCGATGATCCTTGATAGAGGAGGGTTCCTTCTGGTCTGTGCCCCAGCAGACAAGGCACCAGCTGGGCTGGTGGAGACCTGATTTCTGCTTGGCTGAAAGCAAAGGTTCGTTTCAGCATCTCTTGACGCATAGAGCAGTTTCTGACCACAAAGGCATAGTATCTCTGGCTGTGAATAAGCAGCTTTTTAGAAAAGTGGAACAGCTTGAACAGCCCAAAATATACTGTACCTCTGGGATAGCAGATCTCCATTTAGCACCAGGCAGAGAGAAAACCCCAGATGAGTGTTCTACCCATGAACTGTACAATGCACAAAGAGCACAGCTACAGCTTCAGCTTCTGTGTAGCTACTGCCTTCTTTAAAATATCTTTTTTTCTGATCTGGAGCAATGTTCTTCTTTTGAACTGCTAAAGGTTCCTGCAAAGCTTAGTTGGGGTCAGTCGAAGGCCGTGGACTGGGACACATGCAGTTTGAGGACAGAATTTGAGCACTTTTTATCTCAGGATAAGTTTTATGAGTTTTTTCAGCTGATATACAAGAGTGCAGCAGGAGGTCACTAAGATAGTCAAGGGGCTGAAGCATATGGCATACTAGGAAAGGCTGAGGTAAATGGAGTTTTTGAGCTTAGAGAAGAAAGACTGAGGAGGAATCTAATTGCAGTCTTCTGCTACTTAAAGGGAGGCTACAGAGAGCAACAGTCTAGTCTCTTCTCAGAGATGAACAGTGAAAAGGCATGAAGCAATGGACACAAGTTGCAACAGGGAAAATCCTGATGTAAATAAGGAAGAAAGTCTTCCCAGTGAAAGTGGTGCAGCCCTGAGATAGGGACCCAGAGGGAATCTCAACCCTTGAAAATGTTCAAAGACCATCTGGACACAGCCTTGCAGTTAGTCATGCTTGGAGCAGGAGAAGGGACAAGACACCTCCAGGTATCCCTTTGACTTCTTCCAGAGGTGGAGTTTGGACAAGGGACTGCAGGGACAGGCCAAGGGGAATGGCTTTAACCTGCCAGAGGGGAGACTGAGATGAGCTCTTAGGCAGAAGCTCTTCCGTGTGAGGGTGCTGAGGCGCTGGCACAGGGTGCCCAGAGAAGCTGTGGCTGCCCCATCCCTGGCAGTGTTCAAGGCCAGGTTGGACACAGGGGCTTGAAGCAATCTGCTCTAGTGGAAGGTGTCCTTGTTCATGACAGAGGGTTGGAACCGGGTGAGCTTTAAGCTACCGTCCAGCACAAACAGTTCTGTGATTCTATGACATGATTCCACGATTCATTTTTTCCTAATATCATGTCACACTTCTCTAATATGTCTGGGTTCATATTTCCATGGCTTTTGCAGAGATACACCTTGCAAGAGACTGTTTGCTGATGAACTGCTGCACTCAGGTGTGGTCTCTGTTTCTGTTAGATGGTAGTTTGAAACACAGATGGTAGTTTTCAGCCCTGTCTCCTCCCTTACCTGCAACTCCCCAAGTTTAGCAAGAATTTACTACCAGTAAGGTAAGTGTAATGTCTTCTACAAGTGGACTGATGCTCCACTGAACAGAACCCATAAAGGTGAGATGTTTATTAAGCATTTGTTGGAGCACCTCACTGACTTGTTCTAAGTAGATTCCTATTCTGTTCTTATCACCACAGCATCTGAGCTCCTTCCCATGACACATTAGACAGTGTGACTAATATCTGTTGCATACTGTTTGTTCTGTCACCTTTCCCCAGGGAGAGGAGTGTGTGAAGCATTAACTTTTGATGCCCTAATTTTATCCTGTGCATTGCTTTAATTTGTCTGGGGTTGGTTTGCATGTCTCTACACAATTGCCCTGTGTTTGCACAGAGAAGGCAGGTGAAAGCAAGGTACTGTGTGCCTAAGGAGAGAAAATGTGGTTTTTAATAACTTTCTGTTAATTCTTTGGAGTAAATTCCATACTGATATGCCAGAGAAGAAAATTTCTTCTTATGCTTTACCCCATGCATGAAAAAGTCCAGTATTATGAAAAGCGTTTCTCAGCACAATTCACGACAGTAAATATTGTCCATACGAAAGAGCTCTTATCTTCCCAGAAAAGCTAAGTACGGGTTCTGAAGCTATGACCAAGCTCTACCTATGACCAACCACACTGATACTTTACGGATTTGATCTTTGTCCTTATTCAAATGGTAGCTACAGTTTAGCTGGAGTTTTTTGACCTCATTTTGCTTCTTTGCAGATCATCTTGAAGAACCTGACTAACCAAGAAGTGGCCACCTTTACCTATGGTGAATGGCTGTCAAAGCTGAAAAATGCCAAGGGAAGTCTGGTGTGTGAGATGCCTGCTGTCATAAATGATGAACAGATGATGGAGGACACAACATACACTCTTCAGGTTAAAACCAGTGACATTGTAGGTATGTTTATGGTGCATATTTTATGACTTCTCTAGTAAGAAGTTTAATTTTTAGCAATGGAAAAAACAAAATCCCCTGCTTGCAAATTGGAATAATGTTTAAAAAAAAGCATGATTTAGCGTAGTATGTTGGAACACTGCCATTTTGGCTGGCTGTTCATCATGACAGTGTTACTTTGTGGGATTCAGCCTCATTTAAGCTCTGGGCATAAAATATTTAGACACAAGGCCTAGATTTGGTTTCTCAATGCTTCATCTGAAGATGTCTTAAAGCAGATATTGCCAGACCTTGTTTCAATATCAGCAGCCCCCTTTTTCTTTTTGGTCAGGTCATCCATATAGGATGGAAAGAAAAGACTGTGGTCAAAGCTGGTGGGCCCCAGGTTTTCAGTCAGGACTGCCTGCACTGCCCAAAGAAGAGAGCAATAATTCTCCCTGCTTTCCAAAGTGTTTCAAGACCATTCATGTCAGGCTGAGAAATACCATCCTGACACACACACCAAATAGAAGAGGCGGAACAGAGCGTAAAGAAAGCTTCAGAGCTCCAAGAGCCAAGAAATGGGATTTCTATGTCATTTCTTGGGATCACTGCCTCTTTTCATGAGAACTTCTGTCAGGGCTGCTGAATGAAAGCTGCAGCCACATGCAAGCTCCCTTGTGCCAAAATGGGGCAAGCTAAACACTATCTTGCAGACACCTTATTTGAAAGGCTGCCCTCAAAATGGATTCTGCCACACCAGTGCACATAGTCGTCTCTTGATCTCCACCTCTTTCTTTTTGTTTTTATACCTCTATATAGGCTTGTTTTCTTTTTTTTTTTCTTTTTTTTCTGGATTTACCAGTAATTTATGCAGCTTGTGAGGTTTGATCTGAGAATGTAAAAATCCCCTGGCAGAGTCTCTTCATGCCACCTCACCATTTTTTATCTATCTGCTCTGCCTGCTGCTTGTCTGGAAAACATGTAGTGAAATACACAAAAAACCACAACGGAGAGAGAGGAAGATTTGTTTATATATCTGGCAATCCATCTAATGTAATGGTAGATCCTTCTGTGACCTTTTTGTGAAATGCAGCCCTAACTCACAAAGGCAATGGAAGTAGAAATAAGAGGAGAATAGAAGATAACAGGAACAGCAGACAGATCTGTCCTTCCCATTGAATGAAGGTTGATGGGTATTAATAATGAAACATTTTATTTCATTACAAGCAGAAACAACCAGTAGGAAAAAGCAGTTTTGAGAGAGTCTGTTTATGATTAGATCACACAGAGCACTGACGTAATGCTGAACCTCATACAGCTTATCGAAAGAGGACACAAGTCATGAACCATCTCTCCTCTGATCATTTAGTCCATGCTCCTGGTTAGACCAGTTTAGGAAGAAACGCATTTTATCCTTGACTGTTAGTTTGAACATGTCTCCTGACACACTGACGTTGTCTCAGGACAGCAATGCTCCACAATGAATAGAATCAGATGTGTTTATTTCTAGGTTTAAAGTGTGTCTCTGCAATAGCTTTCAACTTTTCAGTGCACCAGAGGCACTGAGACAAAAAAGAAAGTGGAAAAAAAGAAGAAAATTAACCTCAAATATTTGTCACCCTCCAAAAAATCCTACTTTTGCTTTTAGTATCTTCTAGTCTAGACTGTGTGGTGAATTCATCCAGGAGAGAAATCTTTATGAGTGGTCTGGATCATCCTCTGGAGGGTCTCTGTCAGTGTCCCTTCATCAGATTCAGACAAAGCCAACACAATTAAGTTAGGTTAGATAGCTAAAGTCTGGGAAAACGAATCCCACAAAAAATGTCCTGCAGCAAACTAGAAAACATCAACCATTTCCTCCCTATCATACACACATATTCAACAACAGTCTCAGTTTACTTTTTCCTCAAAGAAATCTTGGAGTCATTGTTTGGCTTTCCAGAAGCCTTTTAGCTTGGGTGATCATGTAACATACCTGTTTCACCAAGGGAAAGCTCCTCTCCTGCAGTGATCAAACCTCCTCTCTTCCAAAGGTCAAATCCAGAGGCCCCCAGAAGTAGCTCAGAAGGCAGCTCTGAGTACACATGGATATGGGGAGAAGAGGTTGTTGCAGCAGACACAACTGTGGTTAAAACCAAGATCTTGACCTATTTTTGATCTTACAAGGGATGTAAAGCATAATATTATTTTCTTCAAGGTGTGACCCACAGACACAGCTGCAATAGAGACAGACCTCCTGATATCTCTCTCCATGGCACAAAAATGTCCTTGCTGGTTAATTTTGATTTACACAAACTTCCTGTATTCTATATGCAGGCATGTGCACTGTAATGCAACTACATGGAGAAAGAATAGATACAACTTTCTCATTTTCCAAGCACTAATGAACCAGAAGGGTTTTATCTTTGCTGTTATAAGGTTAATTAGTATGTTGACAGCTCAGCTATAGCCTACAAATTACATAAATTTAGACAGTTGGTGTCAGTTCTTAGTGCTTTATCCAAGCCTTGCTTAAGTCAAAAGAAGGATGTTCTTTGACCTCAGAAGGCTGACTCAAGCCCAGACTTTGTTTAAAAATTATGCACCTCTTCAATAAGAATAATAAAATCATAGATCTTTTGTTGAAAGGGGCCTCTGGAGGTTGTTATTTTGCCCATTTTACTGCTCAAAGGACGGTTGCCAGGACTAGGTCAAGTCAGTTCTGCTTCGAATTATGGGCATCTCCAGGGATGGTGATGCCACCGCCTCCCCAGGCACCTGATCCAAACCTGAACCATTCTCATGATAAACATTTTATTCCTGGTGCACAGTCTCAACTTCCCCAGCAACTTGTGGCTGTCGCTTCTTGGGGTATGGTTTGACATCCCCAAAGTACATGACCCTGTCATCATTATCACTATCCTTCCATGTGGTCAAAGGGCCCTTTTCACCTTCCCCAGCTCATCTCTCTTGGCTTATCCTCATGGTCATGTGCCCCAGTTCCTGTCCATCTTGAAAACCATCTGTTGAGCCCTCCCCAGTGTCTTGACATGACACAGAAATTTAAATTAGTGGCATGGCCTAAGTATGGCCTCCTCAGTACTGAACAAAGGAGGTTTCATTCCCTTCAGCATTTCCTGATGGAGCCCAATATATAGTTTGCACTAACCACTGAGAACTTGGTGTTAGCTCAGATTCAACCTCTGTATGAGTATTCCTGCTATAACCTTTGTGTCATCTCCAACTCCCCAGCACATACACGTGCGGCATTTATTCCACCCTGGATGCAGGACTTTATATTTCACCTTGAAAGACTTCCTGAGATTTCTGCTTGCCCAGTCCTCAAGTTTCTCAAGGTCCATCTAGGTTGGAATTCTGCCATTCAGCATGTCAGTCACTCCCCCAGACTGGAAGTCTGCTGAGGATGCACTCTGTCATTGCTTAGGGTGTCGATGACAAAGTTCAGTGCTGCAGACCCCAGTATTGACCCATGAGCTATTGCACTCATTGCTGTTTAAAGCTTGTGCAACCATAGTACCTTCATCTCTTCATGCGCCAAATTTGTTGCAGTTCCTAAATGTGCCTGACAGGTTCTTGGAATTTGCAACAACAGCAGAAAAAAATCAGACATCCAGATAGGTGAAATGTATATTGATTCAGAAATATCTGTTCTTTTCATTCCTGTCTCCTTCTTAATTGTTTGTGAAGTAAAAGTCACAGCATGAGGCCTTCATAGGCTTCTTCCTGCAGGGGTGGTCTTGATAAACAGTTGGTTCTGTGCTTTTTGAGACCTTGCATTAATTGTGAGGCTGCTCCTTGTAAGGAAATGGACTTTGGTTTGCTTTTTTCCCCACCTCAGCAAGCTTTAGAGTCATAAAAGGTACTAGCAAATGGACTGCCTGAATCCCTGATGCTTTCTCTTCCTTCTTGAGTCCCTCTCAGGAAACTGCTGAAAACTAGCACCAGTTTAACATAAACAGTTTTTTCACATGGGCGCCACATGTTGCTTTGCCTTTTGTCTGTATAACTTTTTTTTTTCTATTTTATTTTCCTTTTAGTATTTTTTTTTCAGTCCTGCTATAAGAAGAGTTGTGATTTCTTCCCAGTTTCTGTATTCAAATAATTACTCTGAAGAAGCAGTAGCTTTCTCAAGAAGTTTTAAGTGCCCTCAACTTTGTCTTTGCATTGTGTTGTGAATGGAGCTGTGGGAAACACGGCCCATGTGGGCCAAAGTGGATTTACGATACTCTTGCATAAGGAATGGCTAGGCAGGAGGTTAGTTTTCAAAGCTGGGGTGCCTAACCAGCAGCAGCAGAAGCTGACTTTATAAGAGGTATTTGAGCTTCATGGTCTTATGTTTATTTTCCCAAAATTTAAGGGCTCTGGTTCTCAGACAGCAATGAATGTCTTCCCATGTGGAACAAAATTACTTTCTATTAATCTGCTTTTTTACTTATGGCATCAAAATATGGCATCAAAAAACAAAAAACAATAATTTTGGTCAAATTATCAATAGTGCCAGGTGAAGTGTTGTAGCACTTTAAGCTAAAATGTTTGTAAAGTTACTGCAGGTGATGTATTGGCCCTAAACTTTCCAAAAGTCAGAAAATGCACGGCAGGGGTTTGAAACGAAATGATCTGTAAGGTCCTTTCTGACCAGAGCCGTTCTATGATTCTATGGAAATTGACAGCATAGCTGTTCTTTGTGGCAAAATATGGACAGTAATGGGCATACGGCAGTCAATTTCAGGTAATAAAGATCACCCTAGAAATTGCTCTTTTTCTAATACATACACAAGAAAAAGTAGGAGTTGGTGGAGGCAACTAGTGAGAGAAACAGATTTTTTTTCCATTAAATGCAGCATGGGCAATATTTTGAGAAACCAGAATGTAGAAGGAAGACCTATGGAGATAAAAAGCTGGTCCACAAAATGCTGTAGTGGTTTGGCTGATGATCTGTGCTTTGCTTTCAAAGCCCTGTGTTGTGCAACACAGGGAGAGCAATACGACACTAGACTCAATGGGAAGTGTCCTGGGTGAAACAGAACAGCTTGGAGGAGGCTGCGGGACCACAATGTGGAAAAGGGATTGTGACCGAGTTGGAAGGACAACATGTACTAACACTTTGAAGACAGAAACATTAAAATATGTTCTTTAATGCTTCCATAGATTGCTGGGTTACTCACTTTGCTTCCCAAGCTAACTTGGAAAAATTGGAGTGACAACACTGACATCCCCTGCAAAGCAATGAGATACATAGTGCTCCATCAGGAGCAGATACTCCTCCTTCCTATTACTACTGCTAACCATCATGGTCACCATACCCTGAACGAAGAGGGAAGCATTCCAGCTGTATTTGAGGGATGGGCTGGAAGGGCTGGCTTGTTAGCTACCATGGGGTGTACTCCTTGCAGGATCCTGCACAAATTCAGTGAAATTCATTGACTGTGACCAGACAAACCTGATCAGCCCTGCAGCCTCTTCCAGCCTGCTTTTGCTGCCTCCATTTCCATCATCTAGGGGCTGGTTTATATGTCAGGCTAGCTGCTGACCATGTGCCTTGCTCTCTTCTTCCAGGAGCAGGTACTGATGCCAACGTGTCCTTGATCCTGTTTGGGGAGAACGGGGACAGTGGGACCCTGTCTCTGAAGGAGTCCAACAAGTCTAACAAGTTTGAAAGGAACCAGATGGACGAATTCAGCTTCTCGGACATGCTGAGCCTGGGAGATCTCTGCAAAGTGCGGATCTGGCACGACAACAAAGGTCAGGGCAGTGACTTGGGGGCAGGAGAGGTCAGGACAATGTTTTAAATCGAAGTACCTCCTCTGTGGACATGGGGCAGGCTGAGGGAACTCTGATGCAAGCTAGGTAATCTCAAAGATTTTACCTGGATCCTGTGTCTTAGCTTGCCTGTCTAGACACACCCTGTTATAGAAGGGACCTTCTTCCTTCATGCTGATGTGGTCTTATGTGGTGTAATGTGGTCTGATGTGTCTTCCCTAATGGGTCCACAACTTCAGTCTGAGCTTATAGCCACTGCAGCAGTACGGATGACAGGTTGTTCAAAACAAAGCCATTTTCTGGCTCTTTTAGTGCAATACCTTTTTTTCACAGGCTGGTATGGCACTTCTTAAGCAATTTAGTACTATTAGCATGACACCAACACATGGGGCATTGCAGCCTGGCATAACATACTGGGCTTTAGAAGTTAGAAATAAAGATCTGAGTCTCTGTTTATCAAAATCACTTTATCAGCTGGTGAGCTTGCATTGCCCTGCCAAGAGAGATTCTGACATTTCCTTGCTGCTGGACACCCTGATGGGTTTCACAAACAGCAGCACTTGATACTACCATCATAGCCATTGGTGTTGTTATTCAGGCACCAAGCAGCATCTTGCAACAAATGCATCATTCACTTGCTGTGATGACATCTCATTCCATCTCCATCTAAACAAGATTAACAGTGACTTGCTTGCTAGTGGCAGGCCCTTTCTGCAGCCCAGAAGTGAAGCTTTATAGCTCTCACAGACCCACTTGGTTCAATGTTAACAAGGCAATTTTGGCAGTAGTATTTATCAAAGTCCTGGGAGGAATGGCAGCAGGACTAGCCAGTTGTTGTCTGGTTGTACTGAGACAGCTGGTTTGTGGCTGGGCAGGGGTTATATGTCAGGATGAATAGATTCTGGCCATCATCTTCTTGACCTCTGCAAGTCACAGCAGATGGTGGAAGGCTGCATCTCATGCAACATTAATGGAAGATACCACCTCTGGGTCAGACTTCCCCACTGGAAGTTCGTCCCCTTGTTTTTATTTAAAACAGTAAAAAGTAAAAAGAAAGGAAATCTTATTGTAGCTTCTGTCTATTATGAAATATAGGAAAAAACCCCATCCACCTAACATGATTGTTTATTCCCAGCTGTTGCAAACTTTGATCCCATTTATCACTCTCACAATGCAGGACAATTTAGTTGCTTAACCTCTGTAATACCACGTTATACAGACCGTGCTGAATGCAGCCAGAGTGCTGCTTTTACCTGATTTTAGTCATCAAATCACTTCTTTGAATCTTCAGTTTAGATGAAGATAAAGAAAGGGCTATACAAGTACTAGAGTTTTAGCTCAGCAAACAGGCATCTCTGTAGTTGCAAGGGTAGTTTGGACGCCCTGAGAGCATGAAGAAATAAATATGGACTTGCACATTCATTTCCAAATGCATCACTAGCTAAATGTATACAAAAGAACACTTCCCTCAAGTCACATCGTGGCTCCCCAGTGGTGGGTCATGCAAACAAGATGAAATGCACCCACCACATCAGAGCTGATATTTAGGGCTCAGGCACGTGAACAGGCTGGAGTGCAGGAAGATGAGAACTTGGTCAGATGAGGATCTGTTGAGACCAGCAGCTGTTCCCAATAGCAGCATCACTGTCTGCCCAAGAAAGAGGAGGGACTGCAAGAGTGTATAATCCTTCCCCAGTCCTCTGCAACTTACTATGCGTAGCTCCAAGCGTGTCATGAACTAGTTATCCTTTTTGTCCATTAAGCAACTTTCAGTGTATTTCCTCATTCAAGTGCTTGTCCAGACTCTCCAGGAGACATTTGGCACCCACGGCAACCTGTGGCAATGAGTTCCATGGGTCTGCTCTCTGCTGAGTGACAAGCAAATCCTGTTAATCTGGACTGGTTTGCTGCCTTTTTCTTGCACAAGTGATCATGGTTCAGATTCTCTATGCCACTGATGGTGAAGTTGAGGCAGGTTGGGAGGTTACCACATTGCAGCTGTGCTATGGTAATGGCTATCAGCATGCTCTTGGTTAGAGGCAAAGGGAAGAAAGAGTTTAGCCTTAGGCTAAGCAGTAAATAGGCTCAATTAGTTTGAATTTGCTATGAGCTCTAAGAGCATCTAGCTGGATAGCCACCAGAAGTCTGCTAAAATAGTAAACCATGTGTCCAGAACCTGAAATATGAATATGAATACACATTGCAACTTCATACTCTTTCTATATTACTGTCCTGTCGCTGGTTTTCATTTATAAACTAAAGTTAATAGAGCTTTTAACAGACCTTGTTTGCTGCAGGGTTAAGCCTTGGACAAACATGATCAGGTTTTGCTCAACGAAAATATACTTGTTTGCCCCCCCTAGAAAGAACTGTGTTTTAAATCATAACATATGTTGCCTTCATTGTTTTTGCATTAGTCATGCAAAAGACATATCCTATCTAAAACTTTGCACAATGCAGCATGACAGTTTGTTGAGTGGGTAGAGTATTTATTACTGCTGGGATCCCAGGCTATAGCTAGCTTTTGCATGTATGCCTGCTCTCTTTACATATTTTATTTAAATTGGCTGTGCCACCGGTTAGAAATTCCTGGCTGTATTTTTTGGAAAGGAGTAGCGGGGTCAGAGGTCGAGGGTCGTGTATGTTTTTTGTCAGATGCTTGGGGCTCTTTAGGTATTAAATAAAAATGTGCTTGTATTTACCATTACTCACAGGCATCAGATGTTAATCATTCTTTCCTTAGGTTTTTGGGTTTTTTTAAACTGAAGTTTTCTGTCAGTGATCTGTGGAAGACTCGGCCTCACACTGGCCTATCCTGCTGCTACAATCATAGGCTCACAGACTGGTTTGTGTTGGAAGGGACATTAAAGCTCATCCAGTTCCAAACCCTGCTATGGGCAGAGACATCCTCCACTAGAGCAAGTTGCTCCAAGCCCCTGTGTCCAACCTGGCCTTGAACACTGCCAGGGCTGGGGCAGCCACAGCTTCTCTGGGCACCCTGTGCCAGCGCCTCAGCACCCTCACAGGGAAGAGCTTCTGCCTAAGAGCTCATCTCAGTCTCCCTTCTGGCAGGTTAAAGCCGTTCCCCTTTGTCTTGTCCTTACAGGCCCTTATAAAAGCCTCTCTCTCTATTTCTTGGAGGCCCCCTTGAAGTAGTGGAAGAATGCCTATGTTCTTAATGCTTGGAACATTATTGATGCTCTTTTCCTAATATTCTTAGTAATCAGCCGTCAATGAAAGCATCATCCTATTTTGATTCACATTAGATGCATTTAGCACTAGTTCAGGACTAGTTCAGAGAACTACTACTAGGATCACGAGGCTTCTTTTCCCATTCAGACATCACCTGGTCCCAGCAAAAGTCAACCAAACTGCCCTCATTTCAGAGCAAAATACATTTAAATGGTTTGTCAAATGTGGCTACTTTGACATGATGTCCAGCTCCACATTCCATCCTCATCACAAAGTTCTGCTGCAGTGGTTTTGCTCCCATTTCACATCCCAGTTTTGTTTCTCTTCTCACTGAAATTTGACTGCAGGAGGGTACTGAGAGTTGAAGAAGCAGTAATTACAATGCCAAAGGCTGTCGGAACATTTTTAAATAGCAAACTCTGTGTTTGTCTCACCTGGAAAAGCATGTCAGTTTTACGGTCCCACTTTAATGCTTTTAAATGCCATTTTCCCCACAAAAACTGCTGAATGGCATCTTTCTATGAGATCTAAAGGAGGAATGAACTCCCCTCTGACTTCAGTAATTTCCTCTGTCTTCAGTAAAATTGATTAGGGAGGGATTCGGCACTCATTTAAAAGCAGGCAGTTTAGAGACTTCACAACTGCAACTCTCAGGAGCTTGCTCCTGTTTTTTTAGCTGTTTAGAACTCACCAGTGAAAGTCTGGTAACAATGAATTGCTGTAAATGAAAATTAGTTTCAAGTTTTGCTCCACATCTTTTTAGCTTGCCCCTATTTGCTTTTAGATACCGATGTTCAACCTAATATATTTAGGCTCCCTGAGCAAATTAAATCGTTTCCAGACTCCCCATCTCCTGATCTCAGATAGGCATTATGTATTTTTTCATATCTCAGTTAATTTACTTCTACATTTATGCAAGATCAGTATCTGTAGGTCTGTAGAAATGCTGGCTTTCTAAATATAGGCCTCAATTTTTTCTCTGGTTTAAGGACTAAATCAGCATTCTGGAATAATGGCTTAAAGTTTCTCTGTATCTCAGTAATGGAATTATTTACCTAGAAAAAACTTTTTTTTTTTTTTCCCTTTTTCTCCTTGCAGAGATGTATCTCCAAGGACATATGGGAAATCTGGATTTAGCTCTCTCATCTGCCTGAATAGATTTGAACCCAGATGATAAGCAGTCTTTCTAAAGTCCTTAATTTCAAATTCTTGATTATCTTGGTTACCATCAGCCAAGGGGAGCCAGAGAGAGCCTAAGTATGGTTAAACCAGACTTCTTTGTGTATAGAAGCAAAGACAGAAGTAAATAACAAGGTTATCAGGCCAACATCTTTGCCTCAACAGAGCACTTCTCTCAATTATGCCAACTGCTGTGACATTGTCCAATTGAGTTTTAAATAGCATAACTGCCCAGTGACTCCTTTTGGGTGGCTCTTCAAATGGAGAAAGTATCTAATTTCAATTTCTTGATCTGGACCCAAGTCACAAACATTAAAAGCATACCCCTTTTCTTTCTTTGAAGGAACTACCTGTTTAAAGAGCAGTATCATAGACGAGATCTTAAATTGTCCAGGCATTGAACTTGTAGCACATGGTCTTTCCAGAGATATATTTGTGCAATTCACAGACAGGATTTAAAGCCTTTTGGGCACTTGTAGGTCATAAATTATTAAAAGAAACCTAAATATCTGCCTTTTTAGTCTTTTGTAAGGGCACACCCTAGCACTGACTCACAAAGCCCTTATATACCATGTACCTTCCTCCCTCAGAAGTGGTAGTTTTTTCCTTAC